GATTACGAGGGCTCCGATGAAGGTCAGGATGAGGAGGACGAGGCCGAGGTTGAACTTTCTGGCTCCGAAGACGAGGGCGCTTTGGTCGACAACGAAGCAGAAGAGGCCGACACCGCCTCCGGCGCCGAGCAGGAAGCTTCTGGTGACGAGCAGGAGCAAGCCGGCTCCGATGAGGAGGCTGCGCTTCCCAAACGCAACGCTCGACGATCAAAGAAGAATGCTCACGTCATCTCCGACGACGAAGACGAGGAAGCTGAGATAATCGAGGCTACTCCCAAGCCCAAGACGATAAGCCACGTGTCGCCGATCATTGCCAGCAACAACTCACCCGCCATGCCGACTTCGGTTCTCCGCTCTGCTAAGAAGACTTTCATCCCTGGTCTTCCCATCACTGGCCCCGCAGGCCTGGGACTGACCCAGATCTTCGCTGGCACCATGGACGACAGCCAGGACATGCCTGGGGGCGCGTCAATGGCATCGCCCATGCCCACCTTTGGTGGTTTCCCCAACTTTGACGAGGAGACGCAGCCCGACGAGGACATGATTCTCGACAGCCAGTCTGGCGACACGCAGAAGGTCCCCACCCAGCAGGCTGCTGAGACCCAGGGCATCCAGCTTCACTACACCCAGTCTCAGATGCACGGATTCGACAGCCTCCTGCGTGGCGATGAACTCAACTCGACACAGGTCGACATGGACGCTTCCCAGGATGGCGGCCTCCAGGACTACACGCCTCTGCGAGAGCGCTTCTTCGAGGCTCCACCCTCGACCAACCAGACCCAAACTCAGGGCGGAGATGTGGAGGAGTCTGTTCAGGACTCGCCCCTTGTTCGCAGAGGACGTCTCCGTCGCAAGATCGAGGACATCGCAGAGGAACCCGAGGCGACATTTGCTTCCAACTCTGGCGTGGTCGTTGATGCCGAGGTCAAGTCATCTGCCACCGCCTTTGATGCCCTGAAAGCAGCTGCGAAGAAGGCGAAGAAGCTGAAAGAGTTCAACAAGAAGAAGAGCAAGGCCAAGGACATGTTCGAGGAGCAAGCCGACGAGTCCGAGGATGAATATGCCGGCCTCGGAGGCGCCGACGGCGAGGACAGCAGCGACGATGATGACGCGGCGTCCGTCAAGGAGATGATTGACGACGAGGCTGGCAAGGATGGCGACGAGCGCAAGATCGCAGCGCTCTACGCGTGAGTAGACACCTTTCCCAGCGATGCCACTGATGATGGCACAACTAACATGGATCAAGGGAACGTGAACGTGCACGCGATGAACAGCAGGTTGACAAACTCTTCCACGACCTCACGACGGGCATGCTCCGCCGCAAGAGGGGTGCTGACTACGACCTTTCCGACTCGGATGACGGGGGCGAGGCCCGTCGTCGCCTCAAGCGCAGGCAGTTTGCCAAGATGCAGAAGGCTCTCTTCACGGACGAGCGCATCAAGAAGATTGCCGAAAACCCTGGCAACCAGGCGTTTATGCGCACGATTGAGGACCGCGGAAGTGACGAAGAGATGGACTTCCTCGACATGGGGCCCGAACCCATGGAGGTCGAGGACGAGTCGCAGTCGCAAGAGCAGACGGTGCCGGACAGCCAGCCTGCCGCCGAGAACGTCAAGCCTCTCGGCGCAGCTGCGGCCACCAACCCGCGTCGCAACAAGGAGGGCAGGAAGCCGTCCAACATTGGCGAGATTCGCGAGTCTGTCTCGAGCCTGCTCGAGGACCCGAACGACCTGCTCATCGCCGCCACGGGGGTTGACTCGGACAGCGAAGCTGAGGACGAGCGGCCGTCGACGGCGCAGAGCAACAAAGAGAACACGAGCCCTGGCAAGGTGAACCCCAGGAGGACGGCGGCACCCAAGCACGCCGTCATCGACCGCATGTCGCTAAAGCGTGACTCGTCATCGAACCTGTCAGCCAGCACCAAGCTCGCCTTCTCCTCGACCACATCCGCCTCGGGCTTCAAGGTGCCGGCATTGCTGCGCAGGGCGACGACCAACTCGCTGGCAAGCAGCACGAGCACGAGCGCGACGTCGACGTCGAAGGGGCTGTCGGGCGGTGGGTTCGGCGATGAGGGCAAGATTAGGAAGACGGCGAGCAAGAAGTCTGGCGTCAGCTACCTGGCGCGCGAGACGGAGCGCAGGGCGGTGATTCAGCAGCATGATCAGAGGAGGGAGGCGAGGAAGCTGCGTGGCGCAGAGAAGCGTGGCAAGGCTGTGGGTGGACTGTTTGGATCCGGCAAGTTTGAGTGAGCCTGTTCACTAGGCATGGTTTAGGAAGCATGGCGTTGGGGGGTTTCATAGCGTTGGCAGACGAGTCTGTCTGGGGGCTCTGCACGGTCTTGACTTGATCGGTCTGAATATTGAAATGTGTATTGACTCAATTGTTATTGCCATGTTGAAGAAGTTCCTGGTGAAATGGTGTTCCTGGTGAAGTGAAGAGCGAAGTTCGTGGTGATGAATGGGACCCCTAAAGGCATGTACAGGCAAAGGCATGTACAGGGGGTCATTCTGCCCCACCAGTGATCGACAAGGGCCGTCGAAGGCGCCGCATCGGATCGTGACGTCGCTCTTTCTACACAAACGCGCTCCCTCCCCAACGCGCGACAACTCACCTTCCCCCTCCATTGTCCACCCTCCGACCTGAAGAGAGCACCATATTTCGTCCCAACTCCAGCGATGATCGAAACAAGAGCCGCATCGCGCCTGAACCCCCACGCAGCTGGCTGGGCCTGATCTTCCCTCCCTTCTCACCTTTGGTACGCGGACGTCATTCACCAACGGACAATGCTGTCCCCAGCACCATGACACCCGGTCAACCCCCCTCTGTACGTTGCGTCGCGCCTTTCTCTCGCGTCATGTAGGGTCTGTTTCACAAGCTCATGCGGTAGGACGCACAAAGACACCGGACCCCCGAAAGTTCCTCCTCGCCAAGAGACACCCGCCCTCGTCGCGGGACACGACGACGACGCCCGGCCACCCGCGGCAGTTCCAGCCCAGCGGCGCCGCCACCGCCGCGAGCAGCCAGCAGCAACAGCAGCAGCAGCAAAAGTTCCACGCGACGCCGCGGTTCGCGGCTCCTTCCTCGTCTTCGTTTGCGTCGACGCCGCGACCGCCGTCGAGCGCGCAGGGGTTCGCGCCCGGATTTGGGTTCCCCGGGACGAGCGCGGCGCGGCGGCAGAGGGAGGCGATTGTCGATGATGGGGTCGACAGCTCGCCGACGGGCGTGAGGGAGGGGTTGGGCGGGTCGATCGAGGATGAGTCGTCGGCGGGGGAGCGTTCCGATTCCGAAGAGGAGGCGGGACGCGAAGGAGAGGCAGAGGAAGAACAAGACGAAGAGGAACAGATCCGGGACTCGATCCCCGGGAGCGAGGGGCCGACGCCGAAGAGGAGGCGGGTCGAGATCGAATCGGAAGAGGGGGGCTCGCAGGTGTCTGATGGGTACAGGGACGGCGAAATACGAACTGTGGACGAGCGCGATGTGCGCGGCGATGAGGATGAGATGATGCTCGATGCGCCGGTGACGCCTTTGCGAGGCGGAACGCAGGCGTCAGACAATGAGCACGACAATGATGATGACGATGACGACGACGACGACGAGGAAGAAGAAGGAGGGGAAGAGGTGCGCGATGCGGCGGCCGCACGCATCCAGCAGCCTACTTTCCAGCGGCCGCCACGGTTTCGCGCGCCAGAGGTCGAGGCGCCGAAGCCGGACGGGCTGCCGGAGGCCTTCTCGCCGCAGAGACGCGGGGTCAGGTACATCCCCGGGGGCCTCGCCGCAGAGATGCAGTCATGGCTCGCCGAGGTCAAGGGGTGGAGTGGGAGGCATGAGAGACAGTCGGAGACGGCCGTGCAGTTCGCCGTGGAGGAGGTCGAGGCCGGGGGCGTGATGTATCTGGTCAGAGGGCGACAGCTTCACGCGGAGGCGGAGGGCATGTCTCGTTCGATGAGGCTGATGCTGGCTGGCGAGGGCAAGTTGACGGGTCTCGCGAAGAAGGCCGAGGTTCACAAGGGCGTCGTCATTACGATTGCACAGCCTGCGTGGGAGGTCGCGCTTGGACAGGGCCACGGGCAAGACAGATGGATTGTTGCCTGTGACTGGGCTGTACAAGCGGGATAGACAGGGTGATGGCCGATGATGTTGTCGATTCGGATCTTTGGGGGATCTGAAGCCCTATGGCCTTGGCAGCCAGACACTGCTTAGGAACCACTAAGGGGTGTTGTCACGGCTGCCTTCGAGGCCCTTCAGTCCTGAGGGATCGGCACAGATCAGGTAGGTACCTAGGTAGGGTACCTTGAGGCAGGTATCTTGGGAGGTGCCTAGGTAATGGAAGGTAACCATGCCCGGCTTCAGGGGCATGACCCTGGAATTGGGGGGCCTTGGGGCACGTTAGGGTAACATCCACTAGAACCAGATGATGACACGCCTCACCCTGCCCTCGTCCCGCCCGTGAACCGTGGCACTGTATGCATCGCGGGCTTCCAGGACGTAATCATTGCTAAAAGTCGTGCCCTCTGCGTCGACCCTTTTACCTAAATCTGGACGCGTTCTGACTGATGGAATCGTGCCCTGGGGGTGCCCTGGGGGTGCCCTGGGGGTGCCCTGGGGGTGTCCTGGGAGAGACGACAGCCAGCGTCCCTCTGAGATTGGTCAGGCTCCACCAGCGAAACGGTGGCCAAGACGTTGGACGTGTTCTCAGCGATGGAGGGTCACGTGGGCTTCGTCAGCTGCTTGCGCCCATCACATTGCACCCATCATGCCCTATAGGGAACCGCCCGTGTCGTGCCCCATCTCCCTGTATCAAGCCTCGCGCGCATTTGGCTTCGAATGTTCCGGTTCCTCATCACTTCTTATATGTCCCGTTCGTTGTCGCTTTCATCCCTTTCTTCCCTCTGCATGATTGCTGTTTGGGCTTTCTCTCCTTTGCGTCGTTGTCTTGCTTCCTTCGTCCGTTGATTCATTCTCCCGGCCCGCACATCGACAAGTCCTCACCTTGGCCTGTCATGTTCAAGTACATGTACCGGCGCATCGCCGTCGCGCCCACAGAGTCCGTCGATGACTACCTCGGCGTCGTCGTGCCTCTCGAGGAGGCCCATCTTCACAGCCACTCAGCGCGCACCGGCCGCACCGAGTTTGAGGACCCGCCATCTCCCGGCGACGACGCTGGCGATGCGCCAAAGGACAGGGAGGAGAGCGAGGGCATGCTCGAGATGAGCGCGGCCGAGTACAGCATTGAGGGTCTCCGGAGAGAAGTGAGGGCTGGCAAGGGCGACTCTACGGATTACGAGAGTGAGTGGCCATGCTCCAAACGATCTCAACTCACTCATGAGGAGAGAACGAATGCACTAGCATACTGACAGCGTGGCAGTGAGGTCAAAGTTGATCAACAAGGCCATCCAGGATATTGGCATGGGCAAATACAACTGGCAGCTGTTCATTCTTTGCGGCTTTGGCTGGTTTGCCGATAAGTACGTTGTGTCAAGCCCCATGGAGAGAACCATCGTGGAGAATTGTTGCTAACCTTTCGTCCGTAGCCTTTGGATGCAAGTGAGTAGCATTTGCGAGACGGGGCATGAAGGAGTCCCCTTACCACGCAATCTTTGGCTAACCATCGCAGGGCGTTTCTCTGTGTTTGCCATCACTATCCGCTGAGTTTGACGTGCCGACCAAGACGGTGCGGTACACGACAAGCTCCGTCTTCATCGGCCTATGCTTTGGCAGCTTCATCTGGGGCATCGGCTCTGACATCTTGGGCCGCCGCATCGCCTTCAACTGTACCCTGCTCATCACTAGCGTCTTTGGCATCCTTGTCTCCTTTGCCCCGTCCTGGGGCTGGACCTGCTTCCTCTTTGCCGCTCTTGGCTTCGGCGTCGGCGGCAATCTCCCTGTCGACGGCGCCCTCTTTCTCGAGTTTCTTCCCGACGCATCGAGCGCGCTGCTGACTCTTCTCTCTGTATGGTGGCCCGTCGGCCAGCTCGTATCCTCGCTCATTGCCTGGTACTGCATCGCCAACTGGCCCGCCGATCAAGGTTGGCGCCTCTTTGTTTTCATCATTGGCGTCATGACGCTGGTCATGTTTGGTATCCGCTGCTTCTTGTTCCATCTCTTTGAGTCGCCCAAATTCCTCCTGTCCAAGGGCCGCCAAGCCGAGGCCATTGCCGTCGTCCATGGCATCGCTTATAGGAACGGTGCAAAGACGTGGTTGACGGAAGAGATTATGAATGCCGTCGTCGACGACGTCGCCCATCCCGAACTCCACGAGGTCCGACCCGCTGGAGTCAGCGTACTGAAGGACAAACTCAGCAAGTTCTCCGGCGACCGAATCCGGCCCCTCTTCCAGAACAGGACGCTCGGCATGGCGACCATGCTCATCTGGTTCTGCTGGGCCACCATCGGCCTCGGCTACCCGCTCTTCAACGCCTTCCTCCCCCAGTACCTCTCCGAGCACGGCGAGGACCCCTCGACCGGCGCCGGCGCCAGGGCCGAGGCGCCTGCAGAGGAGGGCACAACCATCTCGGCCGAGACGTACCGCAACTACGCCATCACCTCGATTATGGGCATCCCCGGCGCCCTCCTCGCCGCGTACCTTGTCGACCACCAGTCTCCCTGGCTCGGCCGCCGCGGCACCCTCGCCATATCGACCTTCGTGTCGGCCATCTTTCTCTTTCTGTTTGTCGAGTTTGGCACGACGCCCAACGCGAAGCTCTTCTTCTCCTGCGTCGAGGCCTTTGCCCAGAACATCATGTACGGCGTCCTGTACGCCTTCACCCCGGAGATCTTCCCCGCCCCTGTCCGCGGCGCCGGCACCGGCGTAGCGAGCTTCCTGAACCGCGTCACGGGCCTCATGGCGCCCGTCATTGCCGCCAACATTCCCGGCGACGGCACGACGGCGCCCATCACCATGTCTGGCGTGCTGATCCTGCTGGCCTTTGTCGGCATGTGTCTGATTCCTATCGAGACGCGCGGCCGGCAGAGACTGTGAGCGTCTGCTGCCCGCCCATGTTCAGTTTTCATGGTATTTCTCTTTTCACTCACAGGAAGTGAGGAACGGCATCATTTGGTAGACATGACTGTCTGTTGCATTGAAGGCGTCTGGCGTCCTGCACCGCTGCTGCTGGGCTGCGGTTGATTGGATACTTTGGGTTCGACTGTTTTTATAGACGTACATATATTCTCTTCGATCATCCGTTTGTACTATCGTCACGCGATTCCTCCCTTGTGCGTCGCGTGTCTTGATTTTCGTATCACGATGATGCTCAAGGCGCTGGACTTGGTCTCCTCCCGGGTACCTGTATCTTCTGTTGCGCTCCTTCCTCGCAAGCACATTCACCATCCCCTCCAAAACAAAAACCAGGCAGCAACACGTTCAACAGTATATGCCCCCCCGGCAACGGTGCCCTTTCCAACAGGACCACCATACCGTGACGCATGGTGTGGTGGTCCAGAGGCAGCTTAATAAATACCCGAGAGCGCATGCCTCTACAATGCGATACAGGGCGCGCAAGCTTAGAAGCGCGTGGAGGGACTGGGGGGTTCAACGCCGGCCGACGGCAAAAGGAGAAATTCCTTTTTTGCCTTGTTTTACACCCTCACCAGGTGTCCTTCATCAACTTCAATCACCTCGAATGCATCAGGGATGCAATGCCAGTCATCCTGATTTGTTTCTTTTTTGTATCGCCGCTCGCTATCATGCTGGAAAAAGAAGATGCATTCAGCCCATGAAGTTTCATCACAGACCACTCTACAATTAACACACACCCACATAGCCTCTCCCCCCCCCCCCCTTCTTTTACCTGGTTCCCTTGGCACCGGCGGGCGCGTCGGTGCGGCGCCTGCGGATGGAGTTGCCCACGGCGTCCTTGACCATGGGGTCGGCGCGGATCGTGTTCTGGACCAGCCAGTCCTTGACCTTGGCGCGGACGGAGCCGAGGGCCTCGGCGTCGCCGGCATACGGCACCATCTCCATGGACAGCAGCTTGGCGGCGTCGTGGTCGAGGCCGTGGGCCAGGGCGTCGAGGCGCTCGAGGCCCTGGTGCAGGCTCTCCTGGGCGGCGGCGTCGTCGTCGGGCGGCGGCGGGCCGCCGGTGAGCAAGACGTCGATGAGGGGCCCGAGCTGGTTAAAGGCAATGTAGAGGGTGATGCTGGCCTTGCGGGCGAGGGCGATGAGCTGGAAGGGCAGGAAGGGCTGGCGCGTGGTCAGGGTGGACGTCAGGGCGTTGGCGGCCGTCAGGAAGGCGGGCGGCAGGGGCCGCGTGACGATGGTGAGCTCGAAGAGGCAGAGGGCGGCGAGGAGGAGCCAGCGCCAGTAGCGGCCCCAGTCGAGGTAGCCGAGGAGGCCGAGGCCGTAGAGGGCGGCGGCGGCGACGGCGTAGTGCGGCAGCAGCGACTGCAGGACGCCGCGGGCGAGGTAGTCGCGCACCGTGTTGAGGCGCTGCCACTGGGTGACCTCGGGGCCGAAGCGGTCGTAGGCGAAGCGCGCCGCCGGGTTGAGGAGCGTGTCCGAGGCGAGCTTGAGGTGGATGAAGCGCGAGGCGCCGTCGGCGTCGGAGGACTTGTCGGGGTGGTGGACGGCGGCGAGACGGCGGAAGCGTGACTTGATCTCGCGGTCTTCCGGGGCGAGCGTCGACAGGCCGAGGTCCGAGTAGAAGCTGCCGTCGCGGCGCAGCTCGTGGTCGGCCTCGTAGAGCGTGTAGAGGAGGTAGAGGGACACGACGAGGAAGTGGATCCTGCGGCGGTGCGTGATGTACTTGGCCGAGCCGGGCTGCGGGCGCGGGTCGCCGGCGCGTATGGTGATGGAGTAGTAGATGGTCTGCGTCCAGCCGGTCACGAACTGCAGTTGAGGTCAGTGAGCAGCTCGGCGCATGGCCAGGTGATGGTCGAGGCACCTCAACCTCGAGGCAAGGCGCCTCGCGATCAGAGGGCAACGTACATTGGGCAGAAAGGACCACCCTAACAGGGAGAGAAAGTTGGACATGATGACAGCAGCAGCGGTTGCAACGACTGAACTGTCATCTCACGAAGTACCGTCGGTCAGTCGGAGACGAGAGAGAACGTTGCTCTCGGAAGTTTGGCAGGATTTGGGCGCGCAACACGACAAGGTCGTCGAAGTGCCAACAACCTGCAAGCTGTCAAAGACAAGGCCAAGGCCAAGGCCAGATCCACGATAAGGATAAGGGTCGCAGTGTAGTGCAACAGTTGCGTCACTGACCGATGCTGGTTGGCTTATGTAATATGACCTGGTGTAACCACCTCGACGCGCATCATCTCGAGCCAGCAGAATGTTCCTCCTTCTCGTAAAATCACACTTGACTGTGAATCCCTCCTAACTCAATCATATTCATGCTCATGCTTGTCAGCACATCGTCACAGGACGTGTCAGGTTGCGAACCCACGCGGACCGCTAGTCATCCTGTCTACCATGGCCACACGTCAACAAACCGAGCCTCGCGGGGTTCGCGATTCTCAGCATGAGCCATCGGAGAAGGTCGGGACTCGCGCTATTCAGGACCATACGAGCTTGCCAGAGTCTCTGGCGTCGATTCGGCTCATGTCTGCCTAATGCTGACATGCTACATGCCAGCACATGCTCAGTCCTGATTTGCAATCCAATGGCAAGACTTTCCAGTCGTCCCCTAATGCGGGCTTACGTGCCCCTGCAGTCAACATGGAGAGCTACGTGAGCATTTGTCGCCCTGAACACGGCACTCTCCGTGAAATCTTGGGCCACACCTCAGCCGAGCTAGTTCTGTGCATCTTTGGAACCAAACTTGGCGACATCTCGGAACAGGGGCAGCGCGACCAACATGAGGTCCTCAGTTGACCTATGTGGCAGCATCCAGTAAGTGCTCAATACTTTGCGCTCAGTAGACGGCATGAAGACCTGTCACCTTGGCTGAGTGCTCTGCCGTGAGATACATGAAGGCGTAATGGACTCCCCTTTCCGAGACATTCATCGTCGCCAAGGACTTTCCAAGAGGTCACACTTCATAATTTTCGTTGTGAGAGGCTTTACCACGACGCCACATGGTTCAATATGCATTTTTGATCATGTCGCGTTCAGCCAGAACAGACGGCGGGTATGCATAGCGGCAACCCATGACAGGAAAGTCGAGTGGCCTGCCAAGGACATTTCTGTGTTGCACAACATGCCGCTATGTAAGCCATATGGAATGGACAATGCCCTGACCTCATTGGATCGAGGCAATTTAATATATGCACACGCACGCATGCACGCACACAAACAAACTCGTGCCTCAATACGCCTCGGCGGTGCAGCTGACAGCCTTCACCGAATCGTCATGGCTCAGCTCGCCGAGGGCCCTGCCTGAGAAGTACAAGATCCGCTGTCAGATGATAACTGCATAGCTGTTGTGCAACCTGTTCCTCCCCACGAACCTGGGTTCGGGTTCCAGCGCAAGGCTCGACTTGACCGCCAGTCGACCTGATCAGACGCGAGAAGCGGGAAGCGGGCAGCGGGAAGCGGAAAGCGCTCAGCCTTCGGGACGCTCCCGTCCTCAGGGTCGCGGATGATGCTGTGCCAATGAGCCAGCGAATGCCCTTCACACCTCTCTATCTCATAATTATATGAACACAGCTGGTTGGTGGTTCGATATCTGGCCTAGACTATCTACCGTCTCGGGCACATGGTCTGTCAAGGTAGCGTTCAAAGGGCTCGGTAAAGTCTATCAGCCGATGCCGCAGCGGCACGAAGCTGGTCCGGTGAAAAGTAAGGTACCTCACCGAGAGAGTCTTGTACGAGGCACTGACTGCATTGTTCCCGATAATGAATGGGGGTTGTCTTGCAACGCTTTCACGGCATGAGGCCATGTTGCAGCCTCGACACGGTCTGAGGCGACATGGTCTGAGGCGGTGTCCAGGGCAGTGGCGGATGCGTGTAGGCATGGCACTGCCTGCATGAGGCAGCTGCAGCCCAGGCGGCATGAGGTGGGTGGGCGTTTGAGGCTGCCGCTGGTGGTGATTGCCAAAAGGGGCAAAAGGAGTCGAGGTAGGCGCCAGGAGAGGGAGCCGCTTCATCGTGATTGGATGCAGTAAGTGAGTCAGCCAAAATAGCAGGGGCAGGCAGGCGCAGGTGAGCTACAGTAGGCAGGTCCTCGCTTGTGGTGCCCAGGTAGCTCTTGCTTTCCCGGGTGGAGGTGGGGCCGTTCAACGTCTCTTTGTTCGCAGGCACCGTTGACCGACCGCCTTTGTCTGATCTCCAGAGTCGTTCAGAATAGTAGCACCCTTCACACTAGGTGCATTCGGAAAGCCGGGCTGCTTCTTCTGCTCATTCGCTTCAACCCCTTTGCGGCCGAGAGCCCCCCCCCCCTCCTAACCCACCTCATGCTGAACCTTGCTCAGCTCGGCGTACCCAATCATGACGTCGCAGTTGTCAGTCTGACTACTTGACCTCACTCACCGGCGATGGTCTTCTCTGACAGCCAACGAGGTGCCTCAGCTGCCCGTATCCAGAGCGCGTGCCCATGCCGTCATGCCGCACTTCAGTCCCTACTCGCCTGTCTGTGTAGTGGCCCGACTCCAGCGTGTCGGGACAGCGATGATCACCTCGTATAGTTGCAACGCTAACAGCCCTTCACGCCTGGGCACAACCGGCCGTCCGGCGCCCATGTTGATCTATTCTCAACTCCATGCGCCTCGCGATCATCAACACTACCTCATGGACTCGGACCGAGTCCTCAGCCCAATTCGCAGCCGGCCCAAACCTCTCCCTCCAAGTGAGCACCTCAACCGAAGCAACCAGAATCAAGACAATCGATAGCCGTGGCTACACAGCATGCGGTGGGGCCTACAAGTGACCGATTCTGCAGGGGCCACTGTCGCCGATTTTGATTCTTTCCCTCAAAAAGGATGCACACACTCTTCAGCTCGTCGTAGACACTCCCCTGCTTTTTCTTTTCTTTTTGTGTGCCTGATGGACACGGGTGTGCTCTGTGAACAGGGATCGGCCGATGCTGACAGGTTCAGGTGGCCATGTCTGCTCTTCTCGTGGTCAAAGTACGCGGGCCCTTTCCGAGGGGCCCTCCTCCGTTCAGGATCCATAGTCATGGTCAGATGCGTCTCGCAGCCGTTGAGGGCTGGAATCCATCGGAAAGACACTCTGCCGCAGGCCTTGGCATGCTGTTTGATAGCTCAAGTGACATGCGGTTGGCAGCTCCAGTGACGCGCCACGCTTGTCATGCAGCGGCAGCCCTAGGTGCTTGTAAGCGTTTGTCTTACCCAAGATCGTGATACGCACAAGCTTCTCAGGTAATGTTTATTCACCGAATCCCCAGAGGCGTCAAAGCTCTAGTTGGTGGCCAGGGATCAGGGGTTCGGCATGTCTCAGGCCCCATGCCCTTTTCTTCTGGACTCGAGGTGAGCTCGAGTTGCAAGCGGTCTACGCCACGCCTGGCAAGGCTCGAACGCTCACAACTCTGCGGCAGAGCGGCCGAAAGACATACGAGCCTTGGTTGTTTCCAAAGTTCTGGGTATCAGCTCGCGGAGAGATGTTCTCGTTGCAAGTGAGCGTTTACCTATTTAAGATCGTTTCCCCGGACCGCAAACATGAGAAATTTACTTGTCTCATCACCAACATCACACACTCTCTTCATCTCTCCTTGACTATGTCTCTCCGATTCATCTGCTACAGCCTTGTGGCCTGCTGGGTCGCCGGCTTGACGTCGGCCATGCCCGCTACCGACCCGCCTCTCCAGCCCTTTGGAAAATATGGCTGTGGACAACACGGCCCTAAGAACCGTGCCTGCTGGCGCGATAATTTTGATATATTTACGGATACATCATCCAAGATCCCCGATACAGGAAAGACCAGGACGGTACGTGAAAGGAGGCCTCAGCGCCCCATGCGTGAAGCTGACGCTGCTTGCAGTACGACTTGACCATCACCAATGTATCAAGCTTCTCCTCCGCCGACGGTATCAGCAAGCCTGCCATGCTGATCAACGGCCAGTTTCCTGGTCCGACGATTGTTGCCGGTGAGACAAGTTCCACTCTCACCCTGTCGATCTGACCCTGACGCAAATAAACAGATTGGGGTGACTGGGTCAAAATCAACGTCCACAACCAGCTGCAGCATAACGGGTATGTTCCTTGCATGTAGTCGGCGCTCTCGGGTTACGTTGAGACTGACTGAAGCGTCTAGCACTTCCATTCACTGGCACGGCATCTGGCAGATGAACACAAACGACCAGGATGGCGCCAATGGGGTCACCGAATGTCCCATCCCGCCCGGTGCGAGCAAGACGTACCTATTCCGCATGCATCAGTACGGTACGGCCTGGTATCACTCTCACTTTTCCTCGCAGTATGGCAATGGCGTCGTCGGCACCATACAGATTAACGGACCGGCGTCTGCCAACTACGACGTTGACCTCGGCCCATTCTCAATCACGGACTGGTATTACGAGACGGCGGACAGGCTCGAGCGGCGCGCAGAGCTGGTCTCCAACGGTCCGCCGCCCGACAGCGACAACGTACTGTTCAACGGCACCCACGTCAATGCCCAAGGTGGTGGTAAGTACTCGAGGACGACGCTTCAGCCTGGCAAGAAGCACCGCCTACGTCTCATCAATACGTCGGTAGACAATGCCTTTACCGTCTCCATGGTAGGACACACGTTTACCGTCATTGAAACCGACCTTGTCCCGGTGGTCCCGGTGAAGAAGGACACGCTCTTCATGACGGTCGGCCAGCGATACGATGTCATTATTGAAGCGAACCAAAAGGTGGCGAACTACTGGTTCAACGCGACGCTGGCAAGCAGCAGGTTCTGCGGCACGACGCGCATCAAGCAGCCTGCAGCCATCTTCAGTTATGCTGGCGCACCCAAGACAAAGCAGCCAACCAACCCAGGCACACCTGTGAATGCAGTCTGCAGCGACACGGTGGGCTTCAGCCCGGTTGTCAAGAAGATAGCACCCAAGAAGGAGTTCCTGAAGAGCCAGGGCTACCTTGATGTCAACCTCAAGACACCCGTCATTGACGACGTTGCCGTGTTTCGGTGGGAGGTCAATGGCTCCAGCATCAACGTCGAGTGGGACAGGCCCATCCTCGAGTACATCCGCGAGGGCGACTTTGACTGGCCGCGGGAAGCCAACGTCATCGACATTGCGCAGAAGAACGTCTGGACGTTCTGGGTCCTTCAGAACCTTGGACCCATCCCACACCCAATGCACCTTCACGGGCACGACTTTCTCGTTCTCGGCGCGGGCGACGGCGAGTTTGATCGGGTGGCAGGGGTCAACTCGCTGAACTTTGACAATCCCATACGGCGGGACGTGGCGGAGCTGCCGGGCGGCGGACATCTCGTCATCGCGTTCCAGACGGACAACCCGGGAGCGCACCTGCTGCACTGTCACATCGCTTGGCATGTGTCGCGCGGGCTCAGCGTTATGTTCCTCGAGAGAAAGGGCGACATTCCCAAGACGGTCAACCTCGCCAACCTGGAGCCGAACTGCAAGAAGTGGCGGGCCTATGAGCCGACGGCAGTCTGGCCACAGTCCGACTCGGGTCTGTAGACGAGGGTGCCACCGATGTGGCTGGATTTAATGATGTCACGTGGAATCGTCTTTTGTTTCCCTTTGTCTGTTGGAAGGGCGTGGAGCATAAGCTGTATGGATTTCATAATGGGTTCTTGGGATTACCTTCCGAGGGAACGGTAATCGATCGGGGTTCAGTTGCACACAAGCAAGACAGTGCTGGCGGTTTACCGGGCACGTTGACTTACACACACGGGTTTCCTAAATTCACACCCGATGGCCTCCCTGGGATCTGCGCTTTCTTCTGCGGCTGCGTCGAACCAATGCAGGATGCGGGGTAGTGTCGGATCTAGCTCGTTGCAGTTCTTGCAAGGGATGGCCGAAGGTTTCACCTTGTATCTTTCCGCATATACAAATCATATCATGGAACATCTGCCGGGAATGACGGCTTCTTCACCGCTCTGATGGAAGGATGCGGCCATGACCGTGCTGTGCATGGGGCAGCGCAGTTGCATGTTCCGCTGGCTATGAGGACAGCTGGCGCGTCGGCGTACATGTTCTGGCCGCTGCAAGATGAACGAATGCTGACTATGAGGTTCGCTCGCATCTGTTATGGTAGGTGGCTCCATCCCGTCAGTCATTGTTGAGAGGTCTTGAAGGAAAGGCATGTTCGGCATTGCCCTGGGAATGGGGAACAAGAATACGTCCATTGGGTGATGCATGCACAGTGAGGACTCTCTGCCTCGTGGATGGGGTTGTACACTTGCAGTGCTTCGTTTCACGAGAGACAACACAAGAGGCATCTGTCTAGGCTGCTGGCGTTGGTTGTGATTAGAAGAGAGATGCTTCCCCGTGTTGGGGGCCTCGGTCTGCACGTGCGGCCCCCTCACTCGGGCAGCTGGGGGCAGCTGCAGACGTCCAAGCTCAAGCTCAAGCTCGAGCTCAAGCTACCTCGACTCACCTCCTCAACACCACTCATCCACGTCACTTACAGCATCGCCATTTCCATCATCATCATCATCATCATCAACCAGATTATCATCACCTCACTCACAAGGCCGGTGGCACAAGAGACGTTTCTCCCCTTTTCATCTTCCGCCCGCCCTCACCGCAAAAGCCATGCCGCCCATCAAGCTCTCCCTGGACGGCCAAAATCTGACCATCCCCGCCGTGCCCCTGACGCCCTCGGCCTTTGCGCCGTTTGGCGACGTCATCCAGAACCCGCACCCGGCCGTGGCCCCCTCGGCGACGCTGCCGCCGCACCTCGCCCTGCGCGCCGTGTCCGCGAACCAGGGCACGGCCATCAAGTACCAGCACCCCTCGGTGCCGGTGAACCACTACGCGACGGCCCCGTCCGGCACGCCCGCCCAGCCGGTGCTCAACCTCTTCGTGTGCGCCGCGCGGCCCCTCGACCACCCGCACCCGCCGGCGCCGCCCCCGATCTCGACGCTGCTGCCCTACACGCCCGTCGTGCACCAGGGCCCGGGCCTCTTCCGCGTGCGCATCCTCGAGCGCCACCCCTTTACCACCCAGACGTTTGCCCCGCTGGCCGGGCCCGACCGCAGCCCCGCCGCCGGCTACCTCGTCATCGTCGCGCCGAGCAGGGCCGCCGGTCCCGCGGACGAGGGGCTGCCGAACCCCGACCCGGCCGCCGTCGCCGGATCCGCGTCCGGAACCTCCGGCTACCCCGGTCGCGGCGTGCCTGATCTCGCCGGCCTCCGGGCCTTTGTCGCGACGACGGGCCAGGCCGTCACGTACGGCGCCGGCACCTGGCATGCGCCCATGGTGGCGTTGGGGCCGCAGGGCACGAGCGTCGAGTTTGTCGTGACGCAGTTTGCCAACGGCGTCGCCGACGAGGACTGCCAGGAGGTCGTCTTCGGGGCGGGCCAGGACGGCAGCGTCGTCGTGCAGGTGCCGGAGCGGTCTGGGCTCGGCGGGCTGGCGAAGCTGTGAGGGTGGGAGGGGAAGGGACGGTGCATGGGGCTCGACTCAAGGTGCTCGAGAATATTTCGCAGTACCTTACCTAGTGTGGCCTGGGAAATGAACATGAACAAGTGAGAAAAACGGATCAATAGTAGTTATTAATGAGAAACAAAAGTATACAGTCATCCAGCCGAAAAGACTGCGCTTGATCATGTATCGCCGCCGTCGACCTGTCTATCCAAACACCTCAATCATAAAGTGGTACTCAATCTTGCTGCCGTCATGCCGACCCCTGGTCGTGAGCTCGCTGCACTTATCCGCCAGAATCTCGCCCACGACTGGCGCGCCACAGTAGAAAACGCCGACCTTAAGCTCCTCGTCCTCCTTGTAGTACTCTGCGTCGCTGGCTCCCTCACGCCTTGCGCTGCTGCCGGGCTTCTCTCCGCGCGCCTCCTCCCTCTTGCTCCGGCGGAACGCCCTCATTTCGTCGTAGTGTCGGTCGAGGATATCGTTAAAGTCGGGCCGCCCAAAGTGCGTCGGGTTCAACAGGCCAGTCAGGGGACTAGCTGGGTGGTCGTCGGTGCGGTGCATTTCGAGCAGCCAGCGGTAGACGTGGGTGACAATGTCCTTGCGTTTCGCCGTGACGTGCGTCTGGATGCGAATGTCGAGGTGCGGCTGGTCCTCGTGCTCGCGGTGCCACTCCTGGCTGCGCGACACTTCGTTGAGGAGATCGGAAAGCCACGAGAGGTAGTTTCTGTCGCGGACCATCCAGTGAAAATCGACGCGGCGGTAGTCATCGGCAAAGTCGCGCGACTTGCCGGCCTCCGGGCGGCGACTCGTATTGATCGTGTCGGCGTTGACAAACTCGTCCCTCTCAGGACGCGTCTCGTTGTCGTTGTCGTCCTGTTGAGAGCTGCAATCGTTGGCCCTTTTCCTCTTGGCTTCGTCGGAGCCGAGCAACATGCCATCGCCACCAGTGATCTTCTCGAACTTGCCCGAGGCATCGGCAGGGTCTGCAGCCGTGGCATCGGAGTCGTGGCGATCCTGAAGGTGGCCGGCCTCGAGATGGGCGGGACCGCCATGAGACATGTCGTCGTGAGCCTGCAGATCGGCAAGAATGCCGGAGAAGGGCGTGACGCCAATCCCGGCACCGATGATGACCGAGTGGTTGAACTCGTAGAAACGCTGGGCAGGCGCGCCAAAGGGCCCGTTGATGCCCACCTCAATCTCAGACTCGCCCGCGTCGCCGCCCAGCTTGCGCAGTCTGCCGGTCCAGTTGCCATCCGTTTTGATGTGCACCTGCATCTTGTTGCCGATGCAAACAGAAACGGTAAAGGGGTGCCACTGCCAGATGCTAATCTCTGGCACCTGGAGGAAAATGTACTGTCCGGCCTTGTACCTCCAGAGACGCTCGCTGGGGATGATGGCGGTGATTTCGACCGTGTCGTCGTCGAGGCACTTCATGGTCGCCTTGATGCGGTGGAAACCGAGGGCGACGCGGACAACGCGCTCCACGACAACCAAAAGGGCAGGGAAGGCGAGGAAGTAGCCAAACATGGGCCACTGCAGGAGATGGGCGGTCCCGTGCGCCATCATGAGGCCGATGATGGGGAACATCAGCAGGTGGCCGAGCTGGAATACTTCGTAGTTCCACCTACGGACCTGCGGGATGCTCAAAAGGGAGAGTAGGTAGAAGCAGCCGAGAGCTGTGATGCCCGTAACACCGGGGACGGAGCGGACGTACTCGATGTACGGCCGGGGCACCATGTCGTCGCCCAGCAGGTAGGCGACCTCGGTCTCGTTGTTGGGGTCGCTGCCACTGACGAAGGAGCCCGTCAGGTGGCCCAGGGCGTGCAGTGTCGCGAGGAGGATGGCGACGCAGGAGATGCGGATGTGGAACTCTTGCGAAAGATCCCAGTTGAAGAAGCGTGAGACATAGTAGGACTTGCGCATGAAGGTGGAAAAGTACCGCGACATGCTGAGGATGAGGAAAAAAAAGGTCGGGTAGAGGGCGCCGGCGCACGTCTTGGCCATGACGACGCCCCAGCCAAAGGCAGCACGGTACGCCGGTGTCGTCTGGTACTTGACGAGCTGCCAGATGCCAAAGGCCAGCTGCATGCCGATGACGAGGGCGAGGAAACAGATCTCGGGGCCATGCACGGCCCAGTAGGCGCGGATGCGGCGCCACACGGTTACACTTTTCATGTACTGCTTCTCCTGCTTCTCCTCCTTTTTGGCCTGCTCGAGGGAGGGAATTTTCCACTCTTTGACGCGCTTGGCAAATTCGTCGCGCGGGATGCGCTGCTCTTCCGAGCCCATCATGCTGCGGAGAAAGGCATGGCGGATGTGATCATTTTCAGAATCGTGATCGCGTTTGGTGACATGATGGGCGGCCGTGACGGGTGTGAGCTCGTCGTGTGCGGCGTCGAGCTTCTGCTCTACCTCATGGTAGTCAATGTAGCCGTCGTCATTGTGGTCGAGATCATCGAGAAACTTCTTGATCTCGTCGTCGTTCAAGTACTGGGTATCGCCGTTGGCGTCGCGCACGGGATGTTCAGCCATGAAGTGGGCGGTTGCCACTGCTGCTGCTGCTGCTGCTGCTGCTGCTGCTATGATTGTCTCACGGCAGGATGGCGGAGGATCCTCGTGGTGTCGTGAGACGTTAGGGACGGTAGCGAGTTCAAGGAAGATCAAGAGGGCCAGCAGGGACGGAGAGAGCACTGAGGACGAGGGTGGACATGGATCGCAAAGGGAAAAGCCATCGTGCCCAGCAGTCGCCAACGTCAGGCGAAAAAAAGACGCGTGAGGATGCAGAGAACGGATACGTCAGCGTCGGGATGCCAAGGGCTTGACGAGACGATACCAAGACCGACGGTGGTCGGGGCCAGGCTGACGTTTGCCCGTGTTGTGATTGCTGCTGGTGCTGCTGGGGCGTCGCCCCGGCCTGGGCCTAGTCTGTGTGCCAGGGCGTGATGTGGCCCAAGGGGGACGAGGTACACATGGGGATGTGCCTGGAAGGCTGGCGGATCGAAGTACCGAGGGGATCGAAGAACCTTGAAATAAACCTTAAAAGTACGCTGCCCAGACCGCCAGCGAAGAGAAAGGCGGGCGCAATGATGCAGTGCAGCCGACGCGGAGGCCCATGACGATGGCCGCACGATGTTGCTATCACGGTGGCCCTTGGTCGGGACGTGCCATTGGTCTGGACGTGGCTTAGGGCATCTGGGCCCTTTCTGGGCCCTTTCTGGGCTCTCGTCTTGGAAGCTGCGTCTATGTCTATGATCCGGTGGTAACTGACTGTTCTGGTTCGGTTGGACTGTTGCAAGCGGGAAGCAGCCAAGGACATGGCTGCTTCCCGCTTGTGGATGCAACAGACCATGATGACGCAATGCCGCGCTGCTGTGGAATGAAATGTGACGCTAACGCCCTTAAGCCTTCAGCGGCTATTGAGTGCTTCTCTAGCGGTACTGCTTGGCGATACTTTCAGTACTGTCAGTGTTGGCGCAGAGGCTGTTCTTCTTCTTCTTCTTCTTCTTCACGAAGCTAGCAGGCAATGCATGCCGAACACCTCTCAGCTCATAGTCGGTGGATGGTTTCCGAATGGAGAATGGAAAGAAGTGTGTGCAATGCGTAACTTGCAGAGCCAGGGTTTAACTCGATATGAGTCGCAACCAAGTCGTGGGGGGCTGCCATAGCCAACCGCCGAGCTAGCGACCATGTCCAAGTGAAAGCACGACAACCCCTAGAGTTGACATGTCTCACAATCTGGAGCATATCAAGTCGACAATCTGGAATGAACCACGGGTCTATCTGTATCACAGTCAGGTCGTGCAATTTTGTATGCCGGGTGGTGCAAGGTCTCTACCCGTACTACAGGCTCATCCAACAGCCACCTCCCGAATTCGGAGAGTCGAAAGTCCGCAATTCTGAAGCATGAAGCTTTCATATTGCCTTTTCTGATTGAGGCTTCATTGCCCAAGTCAGACTTATCAACCAGTGTCTGCAGCTCTGTTGCTAGCCTTCAAACCCCACCGCCGAATTCATGGTGCCAGGTCCCGAGACCAGATCTGTCGTGGTGTCGCAATGGGCCCTCCAGTGATGGAATCCGAAGGAGGGCGCCTGCGCTGTTGTCGACAACACAGGCCTCCCCACCACTCGTGTGATCTGAATACTATGATCGTTGGGATGGCGTTGGCGGAGTCATCGAGGTCTTGCTTGGGGTTGGGGCTGGTAGTGGAAATATTCTTCTCCACTAACAGCGTGAGGATACAGCCAAACCTGCTCTCTGTCGGAGCAATGCTACGTGCGGATTCTCTTCTGTAGAAGCCAGACGGACTTTCACTCAGTTCCCCTTTCTACCGGGTTCGGAGAGTCGGCACAATCGCGAACTGGCTTCACAGAAACACAGACAAACTGGTTTCCGCCCTCGGGAAACCGCATTCGGCCGCCGGACATTGGATCATGCCGTACTGGTGGCTGGCACTGCTTATATCAGTCATGTTGCGGGTGACGTATGCATGGCATTACATGAGGGCGCAGTCGTTGGCGCGTCAAATCCCAAGAGACAGCGGTCATTGGCAGCAAGTTAGGCAGCCATTTAGGAGCTTTGCAGTGCCGATGAAGATGAGCACGTGGTGCCTGGTCTGCGGCAGCCGCTGCTAGCTCGTAGACTCCTCGGGAGGCCGTGGTATCGCCAGATCGGGCTCAACCCCGGACTTGATCCAGGGGTAGTACGGAAGACTGCAGGCCGAACTGGCTCAAAACCCCAAATGTGAGTATATTGACCCCGGGGGTTCTTTCCTGAAATATGTAGAAGCTAAGACCACTAGTCTATATTAGGGATAGCCCCTGCATAATAAGCGGGGATCGAGAGCTCTAGCCAGTTATAATCGATTAGTAAGTTAAAAGGATTAGACTAGCTAACTCTATAGCCGTGCTTTAGGGGCTACTTACAGGCGTGCCTTTATACTATGCGCCCACCTGGGGCCAGCTGTGGGCAGCCGTGCCTTACGCCCATCCATTGCCGTGCCTTGGACCCACCTGTGGCCATGCCTCAGAGCCACCTGTGGCCATGCCTCAGAGCCACCTATAGGCGTGCCTTATGCCTATCTATTACTATACCTTAGGGCTATCTATAGGTTTAAGGCACGCCTATAGGTGGCTCTGAGGCATGGCCACAGGTGGCTCTGAGGCACGGCAATGGATGGGCGTAAGGCACGGCCATAGGTGGCTCCAAGGCATGGCCACAGGTGGCTCCAAGGCACGGCCACAGGTGGCCCTGAGGCATAGCTATAGGTGACTCTGAGGCATGGCAATAGATGGGCGCAAGGCACGGCCACAGGTGGCCCTGAGGCACGGCCATAGGTGGCTCCAAGGCACGGCAATGGATGCGCGTAAGGCACGGCCATAGGTGGCTCTGAGGCATATCCGAAGCTATCCGAAGTAATTTCAGCTTAGGAATCCCCTTAATAGGATTTTACGGGCTTAAATTCCATAACCCCCTTACTAGGATAGATTATTTAAGGTCTTGAAGAGGGGGTGGGCCTAGTTATCGATTTTTTCAAATTTGGGGTTTTGAGCTAGTTCGGCCTGCAGTCTTCCGTACAGGGGTCTCTATTGGTGCCTATGGCGAGACTGACCCGGTAGGGAGTTGCCAACGGCTTTGAGTTCAGGCTATCTGTTCGGCTCGAGGCTGTGTTATTGTGACACCACATCGAACTCCCCGGCCTCTGATCGTCTTGTCATCGCAAGTTTCGGGCACAGCACAACCAAAGAGGCCTTGAAGCGTCCCACATGTCCATCGGCGTGCCACATCACACTTCAAAAGCTCCCCACATGCTCCGCTTGAGGTATTGCAGATGCATTCGGACCATCTTCTTGCGAAGATGGCATCCTTCAAGGTCAAGACCCATGACAAGGTTCAAGCATTCGGCGACCCATGGATCACGACCGGCGTCGGGGACTTCATGATAGAGAACGAGAGGACGCCGTATGCGCCTGACGCGTGTATCTAGCTCCGCCTCATGTAGAGAGCAACAAACACTTGAAGTCAACCCGGTGAGTCCGAGGCGTCATTCACTTTGCCTATATTTACGCCCTTCTCCTCGGGTATCCAAAGTCTGGCCTATCCTCATCTGCATTGTCATCACACGCCCATCTGAAAACATCGGAAAAACTCATCGACATGCATCTCATATCTCTCCTGGCCATGGCTGGCTGTTTGGCAGCGATGCCGTCAGCTCCGTCGTCCGGTCTCAGTCCTCAACTAGCGCCGTCTGATGTGCAGCGTCGGTCTCCCAAGCCGACTGTCCGGGAGGAGGTGTACGACTACATTATCATCGGCGCCGGTGTGGCTGGCTCGACACTTGCCAACCGTTTGACCGCGAGTCGAGGTACCTATTGCATACCCAAACATCTTTCGGACGCATCATAAACTAATAGGTTCGCTAGAGTTTCGAGTGCTTTTGCTTGAGGCTGGTCAGCTGTGAGACTCCAGTATTCCCGGGTTCCCTGACTAGAGATAACTGACTCGTAACAGGGACGCTCAGGAGGACATTATCACGATCCCTGGCCTGGCTGGTACCGCGGCCGGCAGCAAGTACAACTGGAATTTGACGAGTTCCCCGGCCGCAGGCACTGGCAACAGGTCGATTGCCTTGCCTTCGGGCAGGGGCGTTGGAGGCGGAAGTCTTATCAACCAGATGGTGTTTGTCAGAGGCTCCGTCGGCGACTTCGACCGCTGGAGGCATTTCACCGGTAGTAGGTGGGGCTGGGCTGACATGTTCAAGAACTTTGTCAAGGCATGTCGTCTAAGCTCATACTCTTGATATCGGCTCTAACATCCTACAGAGTGAGATATTCGGTCGTCCTAACGAGGATATTGTGGAAAACTTCAACGTCACTTGGGACAACTCTCTCCGTGGCACGAAAGGAAATGTTTTTGCCGGCTACTCTCCCTTCTGGTGGCCATCCGTCAGTGAGTCCACATCATCCACGGCAATACCTGCCAGGAGCTGAGCTGACTTGCAACAGACAACATTGTATCTGCCGCTCGAGAGCTCGGCATCCGGGTTCTGAGGGATGGCTCTGGCGGCGACGTGTCCGGTGGCTTCTTTACCACACATTCCCAGACCCCCCGGAACGCCCGAAGCTCCGCACGCATCGCGCACTACGATGTCGCAGCGAAGAGGGCCAATTTGAGGCTGATCCAGAACGCGCATGTGACCAAGGTTCAGATCGAGCGTGGCCGTGCTATTGGTGTTCAGGTACGATTCTGATTATTGTGAGCTAGTTTTGTCCAGAAGCTTACATATGCGCAAGTTTGTCGAGAGTTCGAGCTCGACTCGTCGCACCATTAAGGCCCGGAAGGAGGTAATTGTGTCGGCTGGCGCAATCTTTTCGCCTCAGATTCTCCAGCTCTCTGGAATCGGGGATGCTAAGGAGCTGAAGACTCATGGCGTTCAGTCGGTTGTAGACCTCCCGGCCGTTGGGCGCAACCTCCAAGACCACCCCCTTCTTGTTTTGGTAAACTTGAGTACGTTCCTGCGGCCATCTGTCCCATCCCGCAGCGGCTTTCCACTAATACCTGTACCAACACTCTTCAGTCAACTCTCCTCTTAATGGGGGTAATCTGTCTGACCCCGCGTTCGCTGCCGAAATGATGGCGGAGTATAAGAGCAACCGCACTGGCCCGTACGCAAACCCCGGCGGCGAGTTTCTCATGTTCCTGCCTACCTCAAACTTCAGTACTAGGGCACCTGAGCTCTACAAATCCGCCCAAGCCCAGGATGCTACACAATTCCTCCCAGCTGACACTCCGAAGTCGGTCGTTCGTGGATACAGAAAGCAACACGCGCTACTCACCGAGGGTATTGCGGCGGACACTCAAACTCCTATGGAGATGTTCTGGAGCGAAGGGACGATGGTTTTTGGCGCGCAGCACCCCTTCTCGCGAGGATCAGTCAAGCTGGTATCGAATGACCCCTTCGACTCCCCTGCCGTTGATCCCGGCTACCTGAGCAACCCCCTCGACCTCGCGGTTATGGTCGATGCATTCAAGTTCGCGAGGGTCATCGTTGCCACTGAAGCCATTTCACAGCTCTCTCCCGTTGAAATTGTGCCCGGACCCGGCGTCTCGAGCGATGCGGATATTGAATCGTACGTCCGACAAAACCTTGCCACGTTTGCCCACTACGCCGGCACTTGCTCTGTGGGCCCTCGGAGCGCAGGCGGCGTCGTCGACGATACGTTCCGCGTCTACGGCGTGAAGAACCTCCGGGTCGTGGATGCCAGTGTCATCCCCTTGCTTCCCGCTGCTCACACCTCGAGTACTGTGTACGCCCTTGCTGAAAAAGTATGTCGTGGCATGAGAAGAGCGTTTCAGATATCATATGCTAACCATTGTTGCCTTCAGGCCGCCACGTCCATTCTGCGTGATGTTGGCTCTCGCTCGCCTGGTCGCCGAGACTGGGACTAGGGGTGATGAAGCACAGCTTGCGACGACTCTTTGGGTCTTCCTTCTTGGCTGTGGGGGACTAGCAGGCACTGTCATGTGTATGCAATGGCAACAGCGTTCGCATTTCTATCGACATCTTGTTGACAGGTCTTGGATCTATTTCCAGGTCAACCACCTGTTGTGCCATGTTTCAAATCAAGATACTACAAAGATCCGCATTAATCGATAATGGAATCACGGCTCAATATTGTGGTGCGAATATGACATGTGAAATACAGTGGAAAGGGTGTGTACTCCATTTTGATGACAGCACTATTTGGCATTGTTGTACATCGTTAAGCTCGAAGAGGAATCGAAAGCCTGGTGGATTGCTCGCCTTCCATTCGATGCTCCTGTTGCAATCACCACTGTCACACTGTCGTCTACCCACCACCGCTCTCAGCCCCGCCTTGAAATGTCCAGGGCCTCCTGCGTCAGCCTCTCTTGCCAGAGCGAGGTGGATAGCCGCGCGGTAGACCTGACTGATCTTCAAACCATCTTATCATGACGGTGGCACGCGTGGGTAGCACAACGGACAAGGGATGGAATAATATATGTTTGGTAAAGCGTCAGCATTCCTTCTTGGATCTGGCCAACGTTATTGAAGTCTATATCATGTACACGTCAGTAAAAAAAGTCGCCCGTCTGCTCAGTCTCAACTGTCTATTTGGATTGGTCCATATTGTGTCGAATATACTAACGAGGTCCATGGAAGAGGGAGCCATGAATCAGAAGGGATGCAAGCGCAATAAGGTCTTTGCGTGTCCAGACGGTTCCTGAATGCAAGACGGAAGGGTACCTGGACTGCCTGCAACGCAGCGGCTGGTAAAATTCCTCACCATGGGGTTATCAGTCTTGTGCCTACTTGGGCACGAAGTAGTGCGTCACGGTTTTTGCGGGTGATAGGTTCTGAAGACCCAAGGACAAAGCCGGGACCTCCTGTCGCTATCCACCATCAGCAGATGGATTGGACCCCGCTCGCGTACCACGAGGCGCGCTTCCAGAAGTGCAAGACCATCATCCATCTCGCGGCAGTGCCAGTGCGCCCGTTGGGTTCAGCTGCCCCCTCCCCATATCGCTCATCGGGGAACACCGCGATCGTAGTGGGCCTGTCCGTCGGGACCCAGCTGAGCTACCCCGCCATGCCGACCATGTCATCCCACTTCGCGCGCCGAATCTCAACCTCAACCCTCCCGTTCTCCTTCTCCCTCACCCACAGGACAGCCAAACCACGAAAAGAAGAAGAAAAAAAAAGGAGAAAAAGCGCCTCGTCTTGGCATTCAACAAGTCCATCGCCGCAACCATGGCCACAAAAGACCGCATCACCTGCCACGTCCTCGACACGACAGCCGGCCGCCCGGCGCGCGCCCTCCGCGTGCAGCTGACACACACGCCGCCCTCGGCGCCCGACGCCGGCGTCACGACGGCCGCCGCCACCACCCCCCGGACCTTCGAGTCCATCACGGACGACGACGGCCGCGTCAAGACCTGGCTGCCCTACAGCGCCGCCACGGCGTCGGGCGACGTCCCCGTCTACACGCTCGACGACGTGCTCGGCGAGCTCGCCGGCGAGCCCACCTCGCGCTGGACCCTGCGCTTCGACACGGGCGCCTACTTTGAGGGCCAGGGCACCGAGACCTTCTTCCCCGAGGTCCACGTCGTCTTCACCGTCCAGCAGGGCCAGGGGTATCACGTGCCGCTCCTGCTGTCGCCCTACAGCTACAGCACCTACCGCGGAAGCTGAGCGGAGCGGAGCGGAGCGATCAACTGGGAACAATGATTTAGCTGGGCGGCAACCACACATGAGCGCTCTCTCGTAGAATCAAGATATTATGTCATTGCTATTGTAACCTGCTGTAGCGGCTGTGCTGTCTGTAGCCGTGCCGCTCGTGCCAGGCGGAAAGGGATGGAGCCAGCTGCCGTGTATGCCTCGCCATGTTCCATTGTCCCGCGCGCGTGGCGACTCTGTCTTTTGTTGACCATTTCAACCCGAGTGCGACCACACGTCCCAAATCAACGCCTCCCGTGAACACCGTGCTGAAATCCCAAGTTCTTGTTCGTTAAGTAAAAAGGCCGTGTCATCGTCGTGCTAGCGACGCTCGTCGACTCGGCCGCTGGCCAGAGTCCACCGTGTGCCTGCGGGGTGTCGCTTCGGTACCGCTGTCCCAGTCCTACTGGAGGAATCGCAGCTTCCTCCGCATGAAGCTGGGTCTGTGTGAACCCTCGGACATGGTGGGAGACGAGTCGCCGGCGCCGTGCGAGAAGACGCTGTCACCGTCGCGGCTTGTGCTTGGGCGGCCGGTGGAAATGCTCATGACGGGCGCCATCGGGTGGATGCTAGAGCCCGACCGTGATCGAAGACCGTCCGTGCCGTCCATCATCGAGTCGGGCGCATCTTCGTCCTCTTCGAGCAACGGGTCGATGTGGTACTTGGCCTCCATCTGGGGCGTGATGCGGCCGTGGCTGATGGTTCGCTTGTGCCTGTGTCGAATAGAGCGTCGCTTGCCGATTTTGCCTGCGGTGAGGTCGTCTTGGGAGATGAAGGCGTTGGGTGAGAGATCGGCCTCGGGATGTGGCAAGGTTGTGTTGGAGACTGGGACCATGATCAGCAAACGAGAAAGAGAAGGCAATGACGCTCGGGATGCGCGACATACCGCCATTAAAAGGTTCGGGGAAGCCAGTGTCGTGTTGTCGCCTGGATTCTACAGAGGCTGGCGCTGTGGGTTCGTGCATGTCTGCGGAGGCCATGATGGCTGGCTGAAGAGGCCAATGTGAGCCTCGAGTGGGTGTGGAGTATGGGCAGGTCTACGTTGCCGATGCAAGTGGATATGAGGGGGGAATTTATGTGAAGAAAAGAATAACGTCAGGGTAGAGCCGGTCGAAGTCAGGATGGGCGAGACGCGCAGTCCGGTCGGGGTTGGGCCAGGTGGATGTATCCCTTGTCTAGGTGAACGGAGGACGAGATGCAGTGGTCGGTCAGAGAGGCGCGAGACAAAAGAGGGGTGGTTTCACTCGAAGAAACGGTTGGCCGACGGGAGAAAGAGTGAGAAGAAAGCTGGATGGATGGAGGAACAATGTGTAGGCTCTTGTTTGCTTGTCGCCTGCCGATTATCCTCCTTAGCGTCTTGGGCAATGACGAGGCCTTCTCGTTTGGGGCATGGGGCGGTAAGAAAGTGATTCTCGAGATGAGATGAGACGACGGGCCGGACGGAGCGAAGAACGCTTGGAGATGGGGCAGAGACGGAAGGGTTTATAGCAATGATGAGAGGCGCGAGGGGAGAAACTTTTCACGTCAACCGTCTCGGGGATGGCAGGGTAATATGAATGGGTTGGAAAGGGTTTAGAAGAGGACTGGTGGGTTGAGCCTCCTTTCGCGGGGATACCGCCATGCAAGCCATATCCCTGGATGGTCTCGAGATGACAGATGAAAGGCGACATGACGAGAGGCCAAGAGCACGGACGATCGGAGCGTAGCGCGAGTCGATCGACTTTAGAGCTCACCTCACTCGACTCGACCTCTGGTCATGGGCACCCAGGTTGAGGCCATCTTCCTCGGGCTCTCTGGGCTTTCAGTTGCAACACTTGCTTGGGTCCCAGTGAGGCAGGCGGGGGGGGGGGGAAGAAGTCTTGCCAAGAGCAAGGGCCCGAGTCGGACTTGTTGGGAGCCACATGAACAGGACAGGGGGTGCGGGCCAAGTGAATTTCGAGGGCAGGCATGTACCGAGAAGGGGTGTTCAGAAGTAGCGACAGTGCAGGTACTGGGCACTGGTACGGGCACTGGTACTGGCACTGCCAGTCAAAGCCACGGTCCGTGTCCCTGCGCCTCCAGTGGAAGCACGAGATGATGAGGGTTGAAAGCCGCAGGCGAGCAGCCCGGGAGATGGGGAAGAGGTCAGAGAGGCAAAGGTGGGCTTACCTGTCCCAAGGTGGTAATAAACGGGCAAGAGCGGTGCCGGGATACCGGGGTTCGCGTTAGGCAGCGCAACTGGGGCGCTCGCTGGCCGATGACTCGTGTTGGCGAGGCCAGGTGGGCTGAAGGAAAGGTGGCCCCCCACTGAACAACCGCGCACTTGTGTAGGTAGGAGTCGTGTTGCAGGTGGCGGGAGATGAAGATGTTCGCGACGTTGTCTGGCTAGAGGGATGTTGGTTGAGACGTAGTTTGGAGGGAAGGATATTGCGGTGAGGGAGTTAAGAAGTGCCCGGAGGTTGCTCTTACCTCCCGAATCCTGCTGACCATTTATCCGTTGGGGACACAGATGCGCGAATGCACATGCACATGCAGTAGGCAAGCAAAGCAAGCGAGTCACTCATGGCCGCTGGCTCGCCCTATGAGGCTTCCCCCCGTCGCTGTTGAGGCATCGAATCCATCACACCCTTCCAAGCACCAGGCGGCTGTCACCGTCTCCCTGCTCCACCACCTGTACCCGCCGCCGCTGCTCGCTGGCAATTCGCCTGCAACATCGCCAGTGGGCCTGTTCGAGCACAAGGAAGAAGCCCGTGGAAAAGGGCTGCCCGTCGACGGCCTGCCCGGCCAGTCCCCGCACGGTGATCACGAGCCGCGCATTGCACAGCATTCGCCCACTCATTTCGCCCTGTCCGACCCAGCAGGCCCCCAGACACCTGGCCCCCAGACACTGGATGGCAGCTTGCAAGAAGGTGCAAGTCATGTCTCGCCCAAGGCATCACCACTGGCCGCGCCCTACACCGACTGAGCATGATCTCAAGGTCACGTCCATTTTTTTCTCTCATCTCAAGCACACCCATCTCATCCCACCTCATTCATCTCACGTCACCTGCCAGACACCTATCTCACTCTCTCTCTCTCTCTCTCTCTCGGAAAACGCACGGAGCGGCGTCGTCCAGGGCATTCGCCCACCCTTCGCACCCCCAGCCCCCGATTGGCCAGCGCTGATGCAAGCCGAGGCTGCAGCCGCAGTCGCCTGAGGCGAGCTCTTACGCGGCCTGCGGCGAACCCTCCACCCGCCCTGGACCTGCCCTGGACACGCCGCGCCACCAGGCCGCCAGCCCAGCCCTGCCCCCGCACTTGTCCTTGCGTTAGGTCGCAGACCGACGCGCGCTCTGGTCAGTGGTCAGTGGTCAGTGGTCAGTGGCCAGTGCCAGTGAACGCTGCCAGCTAGTCGTCGTCGTTCTGCTCGCTCTGCTCTCTCCGGATCCCGAGAGAGGAACGACGAAGCCGAGTCCCGTCCGCTCCACCCCTTCCTACGGGCCGCGCCAGTTTGGGAAGCCGAAGCCCGCTACCATGTACCCTCCTATCGCCGTCCCTTCTTCCGTGCTTCCGAAATCGATTGAAGGCTTGGATCTGCTATTCGGACGAGCTCTTCAGACATGACCCTCTTCAGGAGTCGTCGTCATCTGTATCTATGACAGACCTAATGTTGGGGTGGTGGAGCTGCCTAGGTGAGGAAGCTAACGTCACCGAATGCACGGCCTACCTACTTGCCATTTAATAGACTTTCGAGCCCGGGCTGAGTTCAACTTCACAAGGCGGACCTCTCCAAATTTAGAAACTCGTCACTTTTCACTACATCACGCCGGTGAGGTGGCCATCTTCGCCTTTACTTGAAGCTGTCAACGTATGCAGCAGGCACCACGCATCACATGAGTCTTTACGGGCACTTTGTTCGTATAACCGTACGGTATGGTATTAGGTTGCTTGTATTAACAGGTCATGAGGACTCATGTACTAGTTTGCTGTAGGAAAGGAAGAAAAAAAAATCATCGCTCTACAGGCTGGTATCATAATCATTGCGTAAAGTTCTTTGCAGGCCTAGGCCTTTTTTTTTTCATGTCTCTTGACCAGACGTGGTGACCGTGGCGTGTTGCCTTGCGGCCTCGCGCTTAGCGGCGCTGCCACCAGCGACGGCGGGTGTGGGCGACGGCAGGGGGCGAGTGGTAGTCGGCCTTGCGGCGCTCGGCACGCTTGCGGTTGACGCGGCCGGTGCAGCAGGTGAAGAAGAGGATGATGGTGGCGAGGAGGGAGCAGATGGCCGATGCGAGGACGCACCAGAGGGCGGCGTCGTAGTAGGCGTGGCTGTCGGGGTTGCCGCCGTTGTCGCTGCGGTTGATGCGGCGGCGCACGAGGTCCATCCAGACAAAGTCGCAGGCGAGAGCGGCGACGGTCACGACAAAGGTGATGCCGGCAACGAGAGACGACAGGAAGGAGCCGAAGAAGCTCGAGCCCAGGGACAGGGCGAAGCCGACAAAGGCGATGCCTGCGCCGATGGGGTGCAGGATCATGACGTTGGTCAGCGCCTTCGAGGTGCTCTCGGTCCAGTCAGAAAAGTCGGTGCCGTCGACCTCCCTCAGAATCGAGGTCGGCGAGTAGCCGATGCTGGTGCGGGAGCAGCCGCTGATGAAACTCGTCAGTTGATGTCCACTCTACCGTGCGCGGAGGTTACAAGACTTACCGGCCGCGAACGTCATGGACGCAGTATCCAAATGTACCGAACGATATGTCACCCGAGTCACTGCCCAGGTTGACTGAGAAGAGTGAGAGGGAGTTGACGGTGGGTGCCGTGATGGACGACACGATGAGGAGCACCATTGCCAAAAACAGCAAAAAGGTGCCGAAGTGGTTCACCAGCGCGAGGACACCCATTTTGACCGAGGGACCAAAGTGTCAAGGTTGGATAGAGATAGGAAGTGAGGAAAGTCGTCTGGATGGAGTTGACGTTGATAGAGGGTGTCAAGGGTAGTTAAGACCACTCGTCACCGGTAACCTGGTTGATGTTGTGTAACGGCAAGATTTCAAAGCTGTCCGAACGGAGCGAGGCACAGTCATATAAAGACTCACGAGAGTCAAGCCTCTTGATCCAGGAACGCGTATAAGGGTCGTGCATGCTGCCGTCGCATCCAGGGTTCATCACGTCAGGGTCGTCAGACGCAGCCAACATGATGAGGGTTGACCGGGGGAACAAACAAGGAACATGCTGAGCCTGGTGATCGGCACTCACAGGAGGGTCGAAGGAACCAATGTGGCACGGCTATCAATTCCGCGTGTACGTCACAAGGTGGTGTCGACCGCCAGTGGGCAAGCCACAACTCTGACGATGCGCCGCCCTTCACCCCGGACATAGAGACCCTCAGAACCCTGGAAGGTGGGTTCGATCTGGATTTGTTTGGGGAGCTGTCCGTTCCTCGTTTGTTCGTTCGTCCGTTGGTTGAACTTTGGCGTCGAGGAGGAACAGGGGGGGTGGGCCGCCTGATGACGTCGAGATACCCGTTTAGGCTGGACCCTGGAATAGCGCCAAGGTAGCTCCCGATATTCATTGGCTTGCCTCCTTGGGGATGAGATAGCCCGGTTTCCTGACAATAAGCTTGTGTTTTGCTTCACAGCAATCAATCCGGTTCAAATGGCAAGCTAGCACCACCTGGCCTGCTTCTCTACGCCCAAAAAACTCGAAAGAAAACCCCCCCATGCTGCACCAATGAGAATGAGCGTGAAAGCAGGGAGAGCGGTGAATTCCATTGCGCGACGATCCTGTCTTCGCCCACCATGTGATGATCACACCTGGTTTCTGTTCTGCATTTTCCACTGTAAATCCTTAAGCTTTCTCGTATGGTCGAATGGGCTGCCTCTTGCCATGAAAGCAGCAATATAGAATAATTTCCAGCACAAGCCCCAGCGCTGCACAGCGCAGCCGTAGCTCCAAGGGGCCCCAGACCTCTGGTACACCAACAGCCTAGCGAAACTTTACGCTGAGCCCTGAGCCTGACTCATTCGGGCGAGGCGCAATTTACCGACGTCGCGGCGCTTGATTGCGCGTCTCTAGGGGTGTTCTGCCTTGGTTCTGGACCACGCGATGGAAAGTCTGCATGTTCCACCCGACCATTCAACGTGTGCCGTGTGGCTCGGTGCGTCGTCCAGGCTTCACAGGTTCGATCTCGTCGCGGCCGTCCTACAGAAGCATCGGGGACATCGATGCTAGTGACCAACATTTGCCGGGGCGTGCCGAGCGCCACAGCAAAATGGTTGTTCGAGACAAGTCAAAGGAGCCCAACGTTGTAGCCCACGGCGCACGTTGAAGGCATTCCAACCTTGTTTTGGGCAATTTCACAACAGCCGTACCGGCCGTTCTGATGCTGGCCGATCAGCCGCCCCCGGGCCGATACTAGAGAATCTCTGCTCGCTGCCGTCTCAGGTCGTTGCCGGTGTCGTTGCGCTCTTCTGCCCACCGGTGACGTCTCCCGTCTCCTGACCTTGCTGCTCAACCAGATGCAACAGTCCCTCCGTGACGGCTGGCATGTCGCGCTTCTGTTTTTGACGGAGCAATCTTTCGGCCCTCGCGCGCTTGTGCGGATCGACAGACTTGCCGCCGAACAGCAGATCCTCAACGTGGCGGCTTTTGTCCAGATCAGGGTCCTGCCCACCCGATTCCCAGTCCGACAGGCCGTCCGCAGACACGTCGGCAGGAAGCGACCGTTTGAGCAGCGACGACATGATGGTCTCTCGTCGCCCGTCAGCCCAGGGGCCGTGCAGAGGTGAGGCGCGGACGGCTGCCGAGTGAATATAGTCTGGTGCCGGGAAGATGTGGAGCTTAAAGTCCTTCTGTATATCCTGGCCTTCGACGCGAATGTTCGATGCCGTGTCTATTTGACTGTCGGCGGCGCTGTTGAGGATCGGTTCGGTTGATGGGTTCGTCGTCAGGAAAGTGCGGATCGAGCCTTTGGAGTCGCCTGTCGCGAGCTGGTACTCCAAGGGGCTACGGCGGATGAGTTCGCTGGCCGACTCGTTGTCGCTGGCGACGGAAATGAAAGAGGCATCATGGTCCTGCAGGTATGTGTGTTAGCACCAGCAAATGCAAAGCTGAGAGCGATATGGTTGATGGACGTACATCGAGTTTTCGAAAGACCTCGATCTTGGCGAACTTTTGCAGCGCGTGCAGCACAGCGCGTCGCTCGGGAAACTTGACAGGCGCCGGCACCACCGTGACCTGGATGGTCCGGGACGCTAACTTCTTGGACAAGTCTCGAATGACATTGGCACCTCGCGACATTGCGGGATTGGCGAAGAGCGCTGCGAATTCAGATAAGCTCACCCGGCCTGAAGCGTTCTTGCTGTCCGGAGGTCGAGCGAGCTTCTTTCTTCTCCTTTCGCTAGAGCCCAGATGGACTGTGCCGAATACTCGCTTAGACACACGCGACACGGTGTGGATGACGGCGTTCTGATGCCCCGCCATTTCCAGGGCCCCTCGACGATGATCGCGATGCAAGCCGGATCCTGCTTCTAGAACATACCTTCTTCTCTCCGATCCAGCACTTCGCTTCGGAGCCTCAAGAAACGGCGTTGTTCTGCAAGTAGACCACCGCAACCATCGAAACGCCCTCCGAGAACCTCTGCATAACGCACTACCCACCTCAAAATGGCCGCCATTCTCGACGCCGACGCCATGGAGCCCAGCCTCCAGTCGCTTCTCGACCAGCGCTCGCTGCGTTGGGTCTTTGTCGGAGGCAAGGGCGGTGTCGGCAAAACGACCACGTCGTGCTCCCTCGCTATTCAGCTAGCCAAAGCCCGCAAGTCCGTCCTCCTCATCTCTACCGATCCCGCGCACAACTTGTCCGACGCCTTCAACCAGAAGTTCGGCAAGGAGGCGCGCCTCATCGAGGGCTTCGACAACCTCTCCGCCATGGAGATCGACCCCAACGGCAGCATGCAGGATCTTCTCGCCGGGCAAGACGCCCAGGAAATGGACGCTATGGGCGGTGGAATCGGCAGCATGATGCAGGACCTCGCATTCGCCGTGAGTGGCCTCGCCTCCCCCCTCCCCCCTCCTTCTCTCTATGCAGGACGCTTCGAGGCAGGATAAAATCCACTGACCCGAGAGCTCTCCGCAGATCCCCGGTATCGATGAAGCCATGTCCTTCGCCGAAATTCTGAAACAGGTCAAGTCCATGTCCTACGAAACCATCATCTTCGACACGGCGCCGACGGGCCACACCCTCCGCTTCCTGCAGTTCCCCTCCGTCCTCGAGAAGGCGCTCGCCAAGGTCTCCCAGCTCTCGACCCAGTATGGGCCCCTCCTCAACGGCTTCCTCGGCCAAGGCGGTCAGCTGCCCAACGGCCAGAACCTCAACGACATGATGGCCAAGCTCGAGACGCTGCGCGAGACCATCTCCGAGGTCAATGCCCAGTTCAAGGACGAGAACCTCACTACCTTTGTCTGCGTCTGCATCGCCGAGTTCCTCTCGCTCTACGAGACGGAGCGCATGATTCAGGAGCTCTCCAGCTACGGGATCGACACCCACTGCATTGTCGTCAACCAGCTGCTGTTCCCCAAGAAGGGCTCCGACTGCGACCAGTGCAACGCCCGGCGCAAGATGCAGAAGAAGTACCTCGAGCAGATTGAGGAGCTGTACGACGAGTTCAACGTCGTCCGTGTTCCCCTGCTCGTCGAGGAGGTGCGCGGCAAGGAGAAGCTGGAGAAGTTTAGCCAGATGCTGGTCACGCCGTACCAGCCGCCTGAGATGGATTAAGGCAGCAGTGAATCTCGGTATGATACATTCGTGGCAACAGGAGTCTGGTAGCATGGTGGACGGGACATGAGGCACGTAGCAGCGCATACAATACAGTCACGAATCTACGATACCCAGTAGAGGAAAAGAAAGTTTGTTTTTGAAGAAATTCTTATTCAACGGAGTTCTGCCTATCATGTGTAAAGCTAGAATCCTTCGCTGCATCTCTTGACGAGGATACATGCCCTCGACACGAAAAGGCGGATCTCTTTATCTCCCATCGTGCCTTGACAGCTAATGGCAAGTATCTGCCGCAGTCATTGAGTATAACCTCCCAAACCAATGCAAACCCATGGTCTACATGCCAGTTCCTTGCCCCTCCCTAAACGCCAGAATACACAGACTATGTCCAAAACGAGATACGAGGGCAAGACTGTGCCCTTCGTGAGACTGCTGGGAGACCCTCCCATGCAACGTTGGTGCGTGGGAAATAATGTTACAAGTCGAATGGCCTTGCCGAATGGCCCATCAAGCGCCGCCAGACACACAGGCAGGTTGATTATAGCTCCCGGTAGTCGCTGGGACGAACGCGCTTCTGACGGTTCTGGTGACGGTGGGGGTTAACAGGTCGACGGAAGTACGCCTCCTCGTCGTTGCTGGGCTGAGTGAAGTTGTGCCTCTGTTGATTGTTGAAGTTGTTCATTGCACCAGTCGGCACGCCGTTCATTCCATTCATCCCCATGCCGTTCATGCTACTCATCCCCATGCCGTTCATGCCATTCATTCCCATGCCGTTCATACCGTTCATGCCCGCACCCATGTTGAAGTTGCCATTGAACATACCGCCCATGTCAAAGCCACCGTTCATGCCGTTGAATCCAGGCATGTTCATCATGGGGTTCATGCCGTTCATCATAGGCATTCCCATGTTCATGTTGCCCATATTCATATTGGGCATTCCCATGGGATTGAAACCACCCATGTTCATCCCACCAAAGCCCATCATTGGGTTCATGGGCATGCCATACATGTTATTCATGGCTTGCTGCTGCTGCTGCTGCTGCTGCTGCTCTTGTTGTCTCTGCATAGCCTTGGGGCCCTTTGGAATCTTGGGGTTCTCCAAGAGGTCATCGGCAGGCCGTTTCTTGGAGTTCGTGTCCGTGGACGGCCCACTCTCAGCACCGGCCACGACTGGAGTTGCTGTTGATGATTTGGGTGTATCGGCCGCGGGAGTGGCTTTGGCAGGCGAATCAGGGGCTTTGGGAGACTGTGCCGGCTCCTTCCTGGACTCACCGACTTCGTCTGGTTTCGCTTCTTCCGCCTTCTTTGTCTCCTCCTCAGTTGGCTGCTTAGGCGACGCTGTAGCAACGGGTGCAGCCTCGACAACGGGGCTTTTGGGTGCAGCCTTCTCTTGCATGTATTCGTCAATCTTCTTAACGGCTTCGTCGTCAGGCTTGAGATCGTCAATCAGGACACTGTCCGTGTTGCAATTCGGACAGACAAAGTCCGACTCGATGAGAGCATTGGTAATGCAATCATTGCAATATGTCTTCTGGCAGCACGGCGTCTTCATTGGCTCTACAAACATCTTGTTGTCGATCGAGCATGCCAGCCCCTTCTCCTGCAACTCCTTGTCACCCAGGGCGATAGCCTTGGCGGCTGATGCCGACGACTTGGCCTTGGCCTGGAACTGCTCCCAGCCGGCCTTGTCGGGCTCAGCCACGACAAAGTCTCCATCAGCGTTGACCATGATTCCCGAGGGTCTCTTCGCGTCATCATCACCATTCTGCGCCAGGGCAACCGACTTGTCGACGGTACGCAGAAACGATCGCGGGATGCCAGTAGTACGCTTGACACGGGGACGGTTGTCAAATTCAGGATCATCATTGGTAGGGCAAAGTTGGATCCAGTGACCTTTCTCTCCACACCGGTAGCAAATGTACCCGTTGGGGGGGTCGTGGTCAGGCACATTCGCAGGGCGCTTTGCTCCGCCTTTGACAAAGACAGGGGTTTGGCTACAGCGTTGGTTAGATCGGGATAGACTGTGGGCTGCAGAATGATGAACATACTGTGACATCTCTTCTTGTTGGGCCGACCACTGCTCGCTTTGTGCGGCGAACATGGCTGCCATCTTCTCCTCCTCCGTCATGGCGCTGTTCATCTGGCTGAAGGCATTGGAAGCCACCTTGGCTGTCGCTGATTTGACTACTTGCTCTTTGCGGGCAGAGTTCTTGGCCGACGCAGGCATCTTGCCGGAGACGTAACGAGCGCCGCGGCCTGCGCCAGGCTTGGTAGCTGGGAGTCTGCGAGCAACGACGGTGGTCGATCGCGGTATGATGGTCGTATCATCGTCGTATTCTTCGGCAGCAGGTTAGTACCACATCAAAGTCGCAAATTCGAGAGACAAGATCTTACCTTCACTGTTATCCTCTGTATATATAGCAAGATCAAAATCGGTACCGTCACCGAGGCCGCTCTTGAGAATGATGTCGCGCTTCAACTCAAACACAGAGATACCAGTGCCATCAAACTCGACACGAGTTGGCTCTTTCTGCGACTTGAACTTGAAAAAAACGGAGGAAGCCATATCGATAGTCGGAGAAGGGGTACGTGTGTTCGCACTGCAGTCGAAGGGGGAGGTCTTCGGGCCAGGAAAAGACTATGCTGAGAAAAGCGTGTCTTGCGACTACTGTCTGTCCAGAAGCTAGGTTGACTGCTTTGATTGTCCTGTAGAGCTCGACGATCGCACGCGACTCCAGTTATTGTTTTTGTTCTTTGCTTTGATCTCTCGCGCTGCACCTTTCAAAGGAGGGAGAATCAATTCTGATTGTCTTGAAAAAAAAGGAACGAGCAAGATAGGGTCAGGTGCTGTACGAAGAAGAGAAAAAGAGTACAATGCCCAAGAGGCTGGCTGACACTAAGGTTGGCAGAAGGTAGCCCTTTGAGATCCTCCTCGCATTCCCAGTCACTACTATTCCTCGAGAACCATCAGCTGAACAGCCTGTGTACGCCCGGTAATCCTCTCGTTAGTATAATCGTCGCGAACCACAACCTTTGCGCCTGCGTGGGATGCTGTCAGCTTGTCGGAAGAGAGCGACAGCGCAATCGATCAGTCGTCGTGCGGAGGTGCTGTCTCTGGGAATGTCGTGCCGTAGTGAGATCGAGCAAATCTGCTGAAGACAAATACGATCGTGACAAAGGTGGCCAGACGAAGCTCGTCGAATTCGGCGATAAGTAGGTGTCGTGGTTGTCGGTGGGAGATGAAGATGGAAAGAGCAAGAGAGGAGAAACGGGCTTGCGCAGGCAGAGATATGGCAAATGAGGAGAGAAGGGGAAGGAACCTGGCGGGCCTGACCCTTTGCCTTCTGACAGTTGGCCGGAAGGGGACCTCGGGTGGGGGCATGTTCCAGCCAGCGTATCTATCTACCAGGTACCCAGCACACACAGGCCGCCTCTGGTCTGGCCTCTCCTCTTCCTCTGAGTCACGTGGCGGCGGCGTCTGCAGAGTTCTGGCCGGGCTCTGGTCTCATGACTAATACGGATGCTCGCCGGCAGAAACGGCAGAGCAGAAGCTGCACATTTGCCCAGCAGGGTTGGTGTGCCGCTGGTTGCCGCCCGATGACCCCGCCAACTACCATCTCTTGCTTGCCCTTTCCTGCAAGAACCGCGATTGTGTGCTGAGGAAGGTGCTTGTTACGTATCTCACAGCTACTGCGCCTGCCCAATGAGCAGGTAGCTTTCAAGAAACGGCGTAATGCCCCGCATCCACGTCCCCCTCCTTCATGCTCGCCCTCTCTATCGACCTCGAACACTATTTACGAGCTCGATTTCCTTCTCCTCGCCAACTAGACAGCACCAACAACCTTTCGCCGCAGCTCGTTCCTACCTGACATCCTCCATAAAAACACACCAGGCTCGCAAGATGGCTCCTCAACTCGACGGCTTCTTCAAGCAGGTCGACACCGATGCTGATCACTTCATCGAACGTCTCCGCAAGGCCGTTGCCATCCCCTCCATCTCGGCGGAGCCTGAGCGCCGCCCTGATGTCGTCAAGATGGGTGAGTGGATGGCCAACGAGCTGAAGTCTCTTGGTGCTTCTGTCGAGCTCCGCGATCTTGGCGAGCAGCCAGGCAAGCCCGGTCTGCACCTCCCTCCCTGCGTCCTGGCCCGCTACGGAAACGACAAGAACAAGCGGACCATCCTCGTCTACGGACACTATGACGTCCAGCCTGCCGACAAGAGCGACGGCTGGGCGACGGAGCCCTTTGACCTCACCGTGGACGATAAGGGCAGGATGTTTGGCCGTGGCTCGACCGACGACAAGGGCCCGATCCTCGGCTGGCTCAACGCCATCGAGGCACACCAGAAGGCCGGCATTGACTTCCCCGTCAACCTGCTCATGTGCTTCGAGGGTATGGAGGAGTACGGTTCTGAGGGTCTAGATGACCTCATCGTGGCCGAGGCCAAGAAGTACTTTGCCGATGCTGACGCTGTCTGCATCTCGGACAACTACTGGCTGGGCACGGAGAAGCCCTGCCTGACGTACGGTCTCCGCGGCTGCAACTACTACTCCATCGAGGTGTCCGGTCCCGGTGCGGACCTTCACAGCGGTGTCTTTGGCGGCACTGCTCAGGAGCCCATGACGGACCTGACCCGTCTCCTCGGCTCTCTTGTCGACACGGACGGCAAGATCCAGATCCCCGGCATTGCGGAGCAGGTTGCGCCCGTCACCGAGGAGGAGGAGTCTCTCTACGACAACATCTCGTTCACGATGGACAACATCCACGAGTCCCTCGGCAGCAAGACGACCATTTTCGAGGACAAGAAGTCTACTCTGATGGGCCGCTGGCGCTACCCTTCTCTCTCCATCCACGGCATTGAGGGTGCGTTCTCCGCGCCTGGTGCCAAGACGGTCATCCCCGCCAAGGTCATTGGCAAGTTCTCGATCCGCACCGTGCCCAACATGGAGATTGAGAAGACCAACGAGGCCGTGTACAAGTATGTGAACGACCAGTTTGCCAAGCTCAAGAGCAAGAACACCATGAAGGTGTATGAGCAGCACTCAGGAAAGTGGTGGGTCGCGTCGCCCAAGCACTGGAACTTCTCCGCTGCTTCCAAGGCCGTTGAGCGCGTGTGGGGCGTCGAGCCCGACTTCACGCGCGAGGGTGGCAGGTATGTCGATGCCTCCCGTGATCTTGTGTTTCAGAGACTGACATGTTGTGACAGCATCCCCGTCACGCTCACCTTTGAGCAGGCCACCGGCAAGAACGTTCTGCTGCTCCCCATGGGCAGCTCGACGGACGGCGCGCACTCGATCAACGAGAAGCTGGACAAGCGCAACTACATTGAGGGCATCAAGCTACTGGGTGCCTACCTGCACTACGTTGCCGAGGAGCCCCAGCAGTAGGAGGTTGATGTGACGTGATGCTGTTCACTGATGATACCAAATAACGGACAGCAACTGTACATTACATTCAGCCACAATAGAACATTGGTTGAACTGCTCTTTTTCTGTCGGGTGGTGAAGTTGATGGTTTTTCTGCCGCGTTACATGATGACGATCAGGGCCGACGATGACACGTCGTGCTCTCTTGATGCGAACCCCCCGACAGTACGAACCCGGATTCATGAGATGATTCAATTATTATCGTAAACTGGCACGCGCCAGGCTGGCGTCGTGCCATCCCTAAAGCTATCCTAGAGGGGTATCAAAGGACGTCCGGGCCGTTCCTGGGGTCGTCACCTTGTGGTATTCCGTCATGTTATGTCCCCTAGTGCCCGATTCGTAACTCCCAACGCCATGTATGGAAAAGAAAATCTCCGAAAAAAAAGAGCAGCTTATCACAGCCATCTCGTGCCTCTGTCGTCATTATCCGTCACGGAAACTCAAGGTGGCAGGCTCACTTGCCAGCGGATGCCTTGCGGCCCCTCCTCTTGGCCACAACAACAGGATCCCACGTGCCGGCAAAGATATCCTCGCACTCGTCCTCATCGTCCGAGTCGAAAACGACGTCATCCGGTGTCACGCCCTTCTTCTGCTCGTCGTCGTCGTCATTGTCGTCATCAACACGCGTGGACCGAGGCCGGGACGCAGGCCCCTCAAGCACCGCGTCCCCGACGACAGCGTCGGCGTCGTCATGCACGTCCTCCCAGCGCTTGAAGCCGACGACGCGCTCCGTCTCGAGGATGAACTTGCCGACCTTGTACTTCTGCGCCTCCTCGCGGGCGTCGACGTACTTCCAGCCGAGCTTGGCGTGGCACACGGCGCAGGTGATGTCGGCGACGACGTGCCAGCCCGTGACGAGCTGGCGGTTCTCCGAGCGGCCGACGCGGACGTTGAGGAGGTCGCGGACAGGGATCGCAGCCGGCGGGGCGGGGCAGGACAGGGACGGGGCCGTGGGGCTCGGGGGCGCGACGAGGTAGGCGCGGCCGTAGCGGCCCGTGAAGCCCTTGCTGACGATCTGCGCGGCAAAGGCAATGTCGGAGGCGCAGGTGGAGCAGCGAAGGGTGTCGGGGTTTGTGCGGGAGAGGCGCCTCGCTGTGCTGCTGGCGGCGGTGCTGCCGATGGTGGGGTTGCTGGGGCCGAAGCGCTCGGGCAGCGAGGATGGCGGCGAGCCGGCTGCTGAGCTTGGGGCGGAGGACGTTGGCGAGCTGCTGAGCGAGGGGACGTCGGAGGTGTTGGATGTGCTCGGCTGGCGAGGACGGCGGATAAAGGGCAGCTTGAACGCGGGAAGGAGATAGGAGGGGAACAGAGGTTTGAGGTCGGGTGATTTGGAGGAGGAAGGGGCCATGTTCTATCAACGACGAGAAGAAGGGATGGGGATGAATGAATTACTTGTTACTACGGAGGTTTTGGGAGTCTTTCTTTCTTTCTTTCTTTGCTTTGCTCTGTGCTGGAGGCCACAGCTGCTAGGCGTCACATAGCAAGGGTATCGAATGCGGTGCGGCGGTGGTGAGCATGAGGTGTGAAGGAGGAGAGACCGCCATGCCACAACGACCTGTCGGTCGCCAGTCACGGGGGAGGTCACGCTTGTTGGCAAGGCTAGAGGCATGTTGAACGATGGTTGGTTGTCTGGAGGGTGGCATAAGCCGGCCGCCGGTAGTGAGGACGCATCTGACGTGGTACGGTTTGAAGTACCGTCCAAGACCGAGCGAAACAGGGCCGGGCGACTGGCGACAGGCGGGAGGGAGAGACATGGGGCAGTGTGTCAGCGCCTGATCGACAGCCATCAGGTTGGGGTTGCCTTAACAGTAGTCACCCCGCATCCGCCGCACGCCGCTCGGTGCTCGGGCGCCGTGGCCTTGATGGTTCGGTGAAAGTCTCTGGTCTCACCGCTGCCGTGTCATGCCAGCCAGTTCCTATTTGTGACTTGTCGTCAGACTGACTGCATCAAAGTGCATTATTTTCATGTGTTGGTTGAAATGACACGGGCGTTACCTACAGTGACATGCACAGGCATGAGGTGATGAGGGGTCGAGTCGGGCACATGTCCACAGTCAGTGAGTACAATCCCATGCTGAACAGACGCCAAGTCGAAAACGCCTTATCAATGGCTGATAACATCAAACCAAGGAAGGTCATGGCCCATTTGGCTCTGCGACGCATGATTCATGGGTCCTGGAGGGGAGGGGACGCAGCTGCACCTCGCCACTCGACTTCCGTGCTGCCGCTATCGTGCATTCGGTGAAGCGCAACGTGACAGTATGGCTGCCCAATTACTGCAGGACGTGAAGGGTTGGTCCAACGACAAACAGTAGACGCCTATCAATCTGCCGGCCGGCTACTTACTTGTACCCACCAGACGTGACGCCGAGTTGACGAAAAAAGATGTAGAGGATGGCAAAGACGAGGAGGTAGTAGTGAGCAACAAGGAAGCGTCTGCCAGCTGTGAGCTGCCAGATGCCAGGTGCACATACAATGACAGCCTCCGATGCTGGCGGTTTCTCATCTTGTCCAATCAGATGCTGCATGACATATCATTCAGGACCTCGGTCGAAAAGAGAAAGCGCCACCTGCCGGTGCATTACGGCGTCATGATGGTTTCTGCGAAGCTGGACCCCGTCGTTTGAATTGGAACTCTCCCGCATCACCACGCCCACCGCCATCCCAGGAAAAGGAAAAGGAAAACACGACAGAGAAAGAACACAGCACACAATGGCCTCCCTCATGCGCAGTCTAGTCAGGCCCGTCTGCCGGCCGAGCCTCCTTCGGCCCGTCGCTCCAGCCGTCCTGCGCACCTTTGCCTCCAAACTCGACCCCATCCAGATCGACTCCCAGATCCAGCACGATCTTGAAGTCGGCGAGCTCCAGGGCGCCAAGTTCAAGATTGAGCCTCTGCGCCGCACGGGCGAAGATGCGACCACCATGCGAGCGCGGCTTCTCTGTACGTTCAATGCCTTTTCCCTCCCTCTCCCTCTCGCAGACCAGCAAATGCTTACAGAGACGACCCCCCCCTTCCAGACCAGTGCCGCAAGCGCGGAACCCTCGAGTCTGACCTGCTCCTCTCGACCTTTGCCGATACGCATCTACCGACCATGAGCCACGCCCAGATGCAGCAGTACGACCTCTTCCTCGACGAGAACGACTGGGACATCTACTACTGGGCCACGCAGGACGAGTCGCCCGGTCCCGACACGACGCCCACAAAGCTGCGCCCTTCGACGTCCACGAACAAGGAGAAGGACCTCGACAGCGCCACGGTCGCCGGCAGCGAGTCCTACCGCGGCGTCAACCCGGGTGCTGCCAAGACCATCGACGCCGGCACCAACGGCCACGCCGACACGCCCAAGCCCGCCGAGGACGTCCAGGTACGCGAGCAGGGCACAGGCGAGTGGGCGCAGACGGTGGGCACCTTCAAGCCCGCATACCGCCCCGTGCCGGCGCGCTGGAAGGGCAGCGAGATTCTCGACATGCTGCGGGCGCACGTCCGCGCGAGGCGGGCCGGCGGCAAGGGCATGGCTTTCATGCCGCCGCTGTTCAACGTCGAGGCCCGCAAGGCTTGATGAGATGTCTACGTACGTATCTGTTTCTGCAGAGGGACATGGCATCTGCGTTGTGTACGAGGCTTTGGAGCATTGGCTGTTCATTTATCATTAGATAGAGAGGGAGAGAGAGAGAGAAAGTCCCCCATTGGTGGGACTACCAAGGCAAAGGGAAAAGTTGCCGTTGTACAATCTGGTATACTAGACGGTAATGATCAGGGACGTCCCTACGAGCAAGGATGGGCAACAGATGACAATGAGCTTGGAGGCGGCAGCGAATGGGAGAATAGGAGCCAAGATTTTGATGCCTTGTGTTTCAGTCATAGTGGTGTATTCTGAATAATTGAGCCGTGACAATTACCTACATCCATACGTACTTAATGAGTAAGTAGGTACGTAACGACACCCCAGGTCAGGATGACGGACAGCCTTTGTTCATACTCGGGCCAATCTGATTCTGTGCCACCTCCTCCACAGCCAGAACCTGCGAGAGGGCGGCAGAGAGGGAGCGAAACCCGAGGATTCATGGTGGCCTACTTACCTCACGCTCAGGTGGTCTGTCCCTGATCCGGAGTCCGACCGTCCGACTGTCCGTCCCAGGCTTCCCGGTTGGCAGATGAATACCTGAATGCCTTGGCTTGGCACGGCTCGGTAGCATGTCAGGCAGGTTGGGGGGCTCTGGGTGGCACATTGAACGCTATGCACAGTTGTCAGGCCTGGCCACAGGGGTCCTTCAGTGGCCACACCGACACCGACACTGACACTGACCGCAACCCCGCAGTGCCGCAGCGGGGTGGAGACAGGTCAGCTGCATGCACCTTGGCACCGTGGTTCTGGCAGCCTAACCAGATCCGTCTCATGGTGTAACGCCGCCGGTCCACCCTTTCTGAACACCTTTTTCCTCTATTTGTGTCCCCTCTCCGCCGTCCGCCCGCCCATCCACCTCTCTGTCTCCTCACCTCGTCCAGATCCGCCAACACTCTAAACGTTTCGCCGCCCGCCAGCCCACACGCTCCTCGCCCTCTCTCTGTTTGATCTCATCAACAGACGCAACTACCCCCAAGTCAATTGCAATCAACCACCAAACCTCACTTCGCCAGCTCTTTCCGCCGTCCTTCGGGAACCCTCTCGCCTACACCCAACCCACCAGACCAATTTTTAAGAACTTGACCCCCAGGAAACCCCACCGCCAAAATGTCGCCCATGAAAAACAACAATAATCAATCCAGTAGTAATCATGGCGAGGTCGTTGTCCGTCAGGCCAACGTCCTTGCCAGCTGCTACATTGTCGACACCGCCGGCCTCCTCAAGGGCCTCCACTACTGCACTACCGGGGCTACCGGGGCAGAGTGGTATTCCTGAGGTCCCCTCCTCAGGAATACCATCCCCGCCCTCAAGCCCCCCCCCTCGCCCGCCATTACGGCCTCGAACGAGCTGGCCCTGCTGCCCAAGACCAGGAAGCGCGGCAGCGCCAGCAGCAGCAGCAGCAGCAGCAAGAGGTCCCGACGAGGGGGGGCAGCACTTTCAATCAGGGAAGAATGTGAGAGATTCTTTTGCGAGCGCATGTCGGCCGTGTTCCAGGGTGAGCGGAACGCGGATCCGAAAGCCTCGGGCCTGATGGGTGTTCACGCGCTGCTACCGACGCCGCCCAACGACAACCCGGACGCCAGCTACTTTGGCGGCAGGGACGGCTTCGCCGCCGCCAAAGCGCAGCTCGGGGTCCAGCGCCACGACGACGTTGCCGCCTCCGGCACGGTCGTCACGGCCTGGCTCGAGATCTGGGACTTTGCCGGCGGCGCCAGCTTCCGCGCCTTTGTGGGAGACGACGGCCTCGAGAGGTCCCTGTTCGTCTTCTTCGATGGCAACGTTGTCGGTGTCGACTTGAAGAAAGCGTACGTTTCCCATCCCCTTGTTTCCTAGGCCATGCGGTCGATCCGCCTTGGACCGTATTTCCCCCGACATCAATCCAGAAAGCATGGCTAACACCCTGTTCCCAGTCTCATGGCTCTCATCGAGTTGGCCGACACGCCGCTCGAATGCCAGCACCTGGTGGTCTGCCTCGACCGCCGCATCGAAGAGCGCGATGCAAAGAGTCTCATGAAGAGCCTCCAGTGGGTCGGCTTCGAGCTCACAACGCTCGACAACTGGGCCAAGGACCTCGACGTCACGAGCAAGGAATGGCTCTTCATGGGCATGGAGCTGTAGAGTTGTCACTCTTCATTTCTCCCTCTTCCCACGTGGGCGTTTCTGCCCCTGACGTCCCACATCTTGAACGGCCTCTATCCTCCTCCTCACCTCATCCTCCTCGACCCGTCTTCTTCACCTCCTCCCCCATCTTGCCTCTCCCCATCCCCATCCCCCTTTCTCATCATTTTAGTTTTGAAAGCTCCCGTCTTCAGACCTCGCAGATGTTTCGCAAGAGCCCATCATCCACAGCAGACTTGTTCGCAACAACAGAATTGTTCTTGACTGCTTTGGGTATGCTCTCCCCGGCTGTGATCGGAAGGCGTTTTCACACACTGGTCCCTCGTTTCGTTTTCATCGTTGGAGGAGTTGATGTGCTCAGTTTACGTATACGGACTTTTGTTCTCTCTTTCAACGGCGTTACAGTCTGCAATGGAGTAGGATCTCACTGAACGTGGGGAACTGCCTTTTTTTTTCCCCCATCAATTTCACGAAAGAATGTTTCTTGTCATGCATGTTCTGTCCTTGTCGCGACGCGACACGTCTCCATGTCATATAACTCCTGGCTAAATCAAAGTGAAAAAAAAAAACTATCCATCCATAATCCATACCGCCATGATCTTGAACTCTATTTTATGAACCCCCCTTTCCCCACGCAGTGACATGGGCCTCGCATCCCACCCACTCTACAGATCGCCTTCAAACTGGCGCACCTTGAGGCCCTTGTCGGCGAGGAAGTCCTTGACCTGCTTCACCGTGTACTCCTCGCGGTGGAAGATGCCGGCGCCCAGCGCGGCGTCGGTGCGCGTCTTCTCAAAGACCTCTTCAAAGTGCATGGGGTGGCCGGCACCGCTCGAGGCGATGACGGGAATGCGCACGGCGTCCTTGACCTGGGCAATGAGCTCGAGTTCAAAGCCCGAGTTGGTGCCGTCGCGGTCGATGCAGTTGAGCAGCAGCTCGCCGGCGCCCATGGCCTCGACGGCCTGCGCGAGCTCGACGACGTCCACGTCGCGCGTCTCGCGGCCGCCCTTGATGGTGCACGCGTACCAGCAGTAGGCCTCGCCCTTGGGGCCCGGCTGGCTCGTCTCGACCGTCGCGTGGCGCGTGGCGTCCGGCTTGGGCACGTAGACGCGCTTCGGGTCCACCGACACGACGACGGCCTGGTTGCCGTAGGCGCCTGCAATCTGCTCGATGGCCGTGTTGCCAAAGAGCTTGCGGCCGGCGGCGTGGTACTCTTCGGCGGCCATGACCGCGTCGGAGCCGATCGAGACCTTGTCGGCGCCCGACTTGAAGTACATGGTGGCGATCTCGAGCGCCGACACCTTGGTGCCGTCTGTGTCGACCGAGTCGCGGATGCCGCCGCCGACAGTCAGTGGCACAAAGACCGTCTCAGACGTGCGTCGCAGGATCTCCAGCATCGGCAGGTCGGCCAGGGGCATGTCGCGGAAGGAGGTGATGTTGAGGAACGTCACTTCGTCGGCTCCCTGCTCGTAGTAGCGCCGAGCGAGCTCGACCGGCTTGCCGAGGTTGCGCACGTTGCCGCCCTCAGACTTCTCGCGCACGTCGTACTGATCGCCCTTGGTTACGACGAGGTCACCCTGGTCGTTGGTACGCACATCGAGACAGGCAATGATACGGCGGGTGAGGCCGTCCTGGAAGCTGAGATCAGCCGCGGAGGGCAGCGCGGCTTGGTCTGCCGGCCTGGACGCGAGCGCCTTTGCACCTTCGCCCGTGAGGAAGGCCTCGAGGGTGCGCAGACCAGCGACACCGCTCTTTTCGGGGTGGAACTGTGTGGCGAAGACGTTGTCCTTGGCCACTGCGCCAACAAACGTTTCCGTGCCGTAGGTTCCCGTAGCCACCGTCCAGCCTGCGGCTTCGAGCTCCCCCCTCTTGTAGGGGCACTTGTACGTGTGAACGTAGTAGTACTTGGAGTCGGGTCGGAGCCCGTACATGTCGGCGCCGCCAGTGTTGGCGCTGTTCCAACCGATGTGAGGGACCGACTTTGTCGAATCATCAAAACGGTCGAGCTTGGCCTTGATGACGCCGAGGCCGGCAGTCTCGGGGTCCTCTAGAGAGCCTTCGAAGATGGCTTGCAGACCGACGCAGATGCCCATGAATGGCTTGCCGGACTCGATATGTTTTTTAATAGCGGGGAGGAAGCCCGCCTGTCCAAGCTGGGACAGGCAGTGACCAAAGTGGCCTACGCCTGGAAGGATGAGTTTCTGATAGTCGCATCGTCAGTTATGACTCAGGGAAGGGCGGGGGAAGCGAGCAAGCGAGGAGAGAGGAACATACTTCTGCTGAAGGAACATCTTCCGGTTTGCGAATCCACTCAACTTGGTAGCCGACCTTCTCAATGGCATTCACCAGACTGCGCACATTTCCAGCGACATAGTCCAAGAGGTGGACGGTCGGCATCGTGTCGGTGTCGGGAGGGATGGCGAGGGAGGGATGGTGGGAGACTTATGCCGATATGGAGAGAGAGAGAGACAAGAATGATCGTCCAGGCGCTCCAAGTTTCTCGGTTGGCTTGCGAGTAATATATGGGATAGTATGTTATGTGACTCAGTGTCGGATGGAGGTCTCTCGATGCTGGAGATGGAAATTTGGCGCTGGCTGCGATAGCGGGGCAGTCAGTCACAGTCGGCATTCGAGGAGGGGCACTGCTTGCTTATCTTATCTGACCCAAATGTCAAGCTCGGGAATCTCGCCCCAGTGACACTTTGCTCCTCTGCGACCATACAACAGGCTCGACCTCACGCCCCTCCACCGCTTCCTGTCAGTTCAATCGACCAGCGCCGGACTTGAGGATCACAGTATTCAGCATTCGAATTCACAGGGCTCCCGGAATGTCTTCAGCATTCCCGACTTCAGTCGCGGCCGCCAGTGCCTTGGACGATCCTCCTCCACTAATCCTACAACCACCACCAGAGGCTGAGGACGAAGACGAATGGGAGTACGAGTACTCCTCCACCGAGACAGAGGCACGAAGCGCCAGCCGCGCCCTCTCTTGGAGCAAGAGCTGACGTCCATTCAGACATACTACATGACGGTCGACCTATCCATCCCCCAGTTTGCGCGCCGATGGCGACCCATTCCCGCGTCCACTCGAGGCGGCCACCAACATAAGAGCTGGACCCAACCCTCCCAGCGCAAACGACCTACCATGACCCATCACCGCCTCGATTCAGACGAAGAAGACAAGGACGATGATCTGCCCGAACCCGAAGACGATGACGAGGAAGACGAAGAACTTGAGGATGAACAAGGCCAGGGAGGCACAGGCCAACAGCACCCCGAAGCAGCCGGCAATGGCGGCGACGGCGGCGGCGGCGGCACTGGCAAGGACGCCTTTCCAGGAAACGAAGAGCCCGCCGTCGACGAGCTCCAGATTCTCGACCTCCACACCGAGCATCCCCTCTTCGGCTACCGCAACCGCATCTTCAAGGGCTCCTGGTCCCGCGTGCTCGGCACGGAGCTCATCTTCGCCGACCAGACGCCCGACCACCGCGGCCGCCGCCTGCCGTGCCTGCGCTCCCTGCCCGGCGAGGTCGACCTCCTCGCCGCCAGCTGGGCGCGCATGGCGACGACCGAGATGAAGGTCGCGCCCAAGCACGTCGCTGACCAAGGCCCCGACCGCTTCCGCGACATCAAGCTGCGTCACGGCATCCGCATCCCCGTTTGGGGCGACAAGACGGGCGAGCGCAAGATCCAGACGCGCTTCCTCGAGGACCTCATGGCCCTCAAGCTCAAGAAGAAGGAAAAGGACGATGTGACTGTCTACGCCCAGGCGCCCGCCTACCGGGACAGGCTGTCTGCCATTCCGCGCGTCCGCCGCGGCGGCTGGAAGGGGGCCGGCAGGCGCGGTGGCGGCGACGGCGCCGCCGACGACGACGACGACGAAGGGGCGAGGAAGAGGAGAAAGCCGCTGCCGAGCGGTCGACCCAAGGCCGACGGGCGCAAGAACAGGGTCAGATGGCATGCGCGTGGACGTGGCAGGGGCAAGGGTGCCATTGCTGGAGGGCAGGCCGTCATGGACCGTCCCGAGCTGCTCATGGACAACGGAGAGAATTCGGATGAGGAGTTATCGGCGCCTACGCCAGATAAATGGTCCGACCTCGAGGGTACATTCAGGATAGAAGGCCATGAGGATGACGTCGAGATGGCGGAGGCAGACGGCGGCACGGGTGCAGCAGACGCACCAGAAGGCGAGGGGTCGAGACAAGCTTGAGCGCGGAGGCCTCGTCTCCATTATGCCTAGCCCTCCCAACCTTTGTGTTCAATATTCTTCTGATGATACCCAACCTAAAAGTTAAAGTTCGAGGCCCGCTTCTCCCACGCGTTGCATACACACCGATCAGCATACAGTCACATTCCACCGATTGAGTTGTTTCATGCTTGATAAGTTTCGATATCTTACTCAGCCAAGTCCTGTGGACTGCCTCTTGACCCACCCTGTCGAACGGACAGAGGAGTAGGCAAGTTGAGCGAAGAATATACAGAGAATGATAAAAGTCTATAGCCCAGAAATGACAAAACACCATTTTATTCCTTCCAGCCTGTCCAACCTTGAGCGTCTGAATCCAAGAGCTCTGTTCCCTGTGTGAACACCATAATGGGGTGAAATCATCTGTAGATCCACTAAAAAGAGGAATCTGAAAATTGGTATAATCCAGGGTCATGATATCGTCAAAAAGATTGCCAGCCCGGACTGAAGCCCACTGGTGGATCCTTTGTGGGAGAAACGCCGAAGCCTCCGGAGGTGGGATACTTAGTTGAACCACCACTTGACCTCAGTGCGACCAGCAGTCAGCGAGCCGAAGAGCTCGAGGAAGGCGGCCTTGGACACGTCGATGGCCTCGGGCTCGCAGCCCATGCACTTGTCGCGGACAGTGCAAACAACTTCCTTGCCGTTGGCGCTGACGGTGATGGTCTGGTCGCACATGGGGTTGCCGTTGGACTGCGTGCCCATGAGGAGGTGCGAAAGGGCGACAATGTTGTCCGAGTTGTCTTTGCCAGTGTCATCGAAACCGCAAGCGCCAAGACCGACATCGTAGTATGTCAGGTCGCCAGAGTGGCTGTCGCTCGGGGCGCTGCTGCTACCGCTGTCGGAGCTCTTGGACCCCTCGGCCGGGGACTCAGGAGCAGGCTCCTCAATGGGCTCTTCCGCGACGGGCTCAGGGGTAGGAGTGGGAGTGGGAGTGGGGGTGGTGGGAGCAGGAGGAGGGGCCTGGTAGGTGGTAGTTGTCTCCGGCTGAGCGATAGGCTCAGGCTGGGGCTCCTGCTTCTCGGGCTCAGGAGCCTTGGGCTCAGGAACCTTAGGCTCGGGAGCAGGCGGCGCGGCGGTGGTGGTGGGCTGAGCAACAGTAGGCTTCTCGGGCTCGAAGAACTGGGCGTCCTTGGTGTTGGAAGGCTCAGGCTCCTCAGACTCGACACCGGGGGTGACCCAGACGGTACTGGTCGCATCATAGTACTCAGTAACGTAGGCGGTCTCCGTGACCCATTCGGTGACCAGGGCGCGCTTGGCATGCTTGTTGTGGACGTGGCGGCGCTTGTTGCCGTTGAAATGAGGCTGGGCCAAGGCCGTGGTGGCCAGGGCAGCGCAGAGGATGGCAGTAGTCTTCATTGTGGTGGTGAACGGTGTTTTTAGTGTCTTGTGGTGCGGGTAGGCGTGTGCAAAGGTCCGAGGACTTATAAGAGACGTCAAGTCAAGGTGATTCGCTGAGGCTGGGCTCGAAGCGAGATGAGTGACTCAAGCTTGGCTCGAGTTGTTCGGTGAAGGGTGTTTTGTGCCAGACAACGATCGTCTGAGGTGCCGGAATAGCGGGGGGCAGTTCGCGATACAAGTGGTAGACTGAGAAGACAGTGTGTGAGCTCACGGAACTCTTGAGTGATGGCAGAATCACGAAGCAGTTGTGAATGAAAGAATTTAGCCGGTGGGCAAGTAGGTGAGCCTGCTCGAGGTTCAAGTGAAGGAACGGGTACTTGATAATCGGGGACAAGAGGGAACGTTAGGTTGAGTAAACATCCGTGAGCAGTGAAGCGAGGGAGAGGCTTGGGATTTAAGGACTGGCCGGGAAACAGTGAACAAGGTAGGGTAGACCTGGCCCGGGGGGAGTCTGAAGCCCTTGCAACTGGAGCCCAGAGGCAAGGTCCTTGACTTGGAGTCCAACTAGCTGGGAGGGAGGTGTGGAGAAAAAACGAGGCCAAGGGGGGCGGGAGGGGGTGCAAGAAACCCTGCCTTCCTCTCGCCTGGCGTGTTCGAGGCGCAATGGCAGCGCTGTGGTGACAGAGAAGAAGGAAACGGGGGCTGTGAAAAAGGACGCACCAACAGCCCGACGGTCTCAAGGTACCTGTACGTACTGTACGTACGTTGTCTGGGCGAGACTAACTGCCGAGCCGCGAGGACTGGATGGCGAACAGCGTTTCTTTCATCTCCATTTCGTTCCGCAAGTCTGTACATCTCCTCAAGGCCTTATTGACCATCTCTCAGGCTCCTGAGAAACAAGACAGCCTAGGACGACTGGACGAACAGCCCTCCCCCGCCTAGTTCGTAGCGTTGAAACAACATGTGAGCCGGCGGACCCGTGTGCCGGGGAAAGCTGAGAGTGCCTGACCTGACGCTTCGGCAGTGCAAGGCCCCCGGGGCTCTAGCCTGTGCCTTGACCTGGAGGACACCACCCGTCGTGTCATTGCGTGGAGCTTCCGAGCGAGGAAAAACCAAGGCGTGGTAGGAGGCGGGTGTGGGCGGGAGTTCCGCTGAGGGGGGTCAGGGGCCGGGGGGCTGGGGGCCAGGGGCTGACAAGATGGTGAGTCGGGAGTTCCTTGCAGCTGCAAGGTACCATCCAGGCCACCCAATCGTCTCTGGCCGGTGTTTTCGCAAAGGGCCTAGTTGGTGTCGCTTTGGTGCTAACGGCTCTCATTCCGGGACGATCACTTGTGAAAGCCCGCCGCGTGTCCGCCTGGCGTGGTTTGGGCCTTGACGTGACCTTGGCGTGTCCAGAAAAGCGGACTGCGAGGAGAAAAGTCCGGAAATTCTCTCACTCCACCGACGCGGTGCCACTTCATCGCACACAATGAAGGCTACACGCCCGTCTACTGCGTCCGTCGCAAGGCCGTCGGGATAGCGCTCGACTGCTATTTGCTCGATGCTGTGATTCCAGACCTCTCAACTTGCAGTAGTCGGCGGATGGCGTTGGTAGACGTGTGAAGGACAAGGCCGAGAACTGCATGAAGGATTTTCCGCTCCATTCTTTCCTGTTTTGCATCCCCCCCTTCACGCCGCCCACCCGATATTTGCTTCGGCTGCCTTTGCTTGTGCCGGGAGAGAGTAAGGTGTCATTAGATCGTTACTTGAGACCTCAACCAAGTCCCAAGCTCATGAAAGTCAAGTGGACACCCGTGCACGATGACGGAAACGCGATAGTGCTGTGCGCCCGTGGCTCAAACCGCCATTCGCGTTGATGTCTGGCCAAGGCAAAACGTTCACCAATAGTGGCCGAGATCTATATGTATTGGTCGCCCGCGGAAACCTCTCCAACGCCGTCGCCAGCACAATGTGCTCTAAATAACTCCTTGTGTCTACCAATGATGTATTGCCACCCGTCACTGCACCACCGGGGTCCTCGAAGTGCTGCCGTCGGTTGACGCCTTTTTGTTTCTGAAGGTGTACAAGAATATGTTTTCCCGACTGAAGACAGCTTGATCTTCGTCGAAGGCTGCCTCAACAAGGAACCTCTTTTTCGCCTTTTTCATGAAATTCATGTCAGCGCGTCGCCTTTTCCTGAAGCAGAAGTAAATTGTGGCGTCTTCGTTCAGCGCCAGCAGGTCTGACAGTGTTTCCAACAGTAGTGGGAACGCCGGCTCAAAGTACACACAGTCGGCAGCTAAAATGACAGTAGGCTTTGAGTCAATCACGTCTTTTGGCAGCGACTCGCCCCTATAGTACGCAAGGAGGTATTAGCACCTGTACGCCACAAATCCACGATCAAATCACAATGACAATATGAGGCATCTATCTTGTGGAGCAGACGGAAGCAGAACATGCTCGTTGCTGTTGGATGGACGCGGTGATGCGTCACTGTGCAAAGAGGCGAGATGTGTGCGCTCTGTTTCGAACGAGCATGGCGGCGATTAATGCGCCGCAGAGGACGCAAACCGCTTAACACGACACATCCCCAGCATGCGAGAGATCGATTCGAGTAAGCGCTCAATATGACAAGGACACAGAACGTACCAGTTCAAGATCAAAGGCTTGACATTGGATCCAAGGTCGTTCAAAGCAATATTGTGCTGCATCAAAGCGAACATTTCGTCTTGGTCGGTGAGGAGCAACGGCGACTCATGCATGCCTTGGTGGCCATCGGCCACGGCCCCATTGGCGACAGCCAGGCCAACGAGACCTCCACCAGCACCGAGCTCCAGTCTGGACAATATGAGTCAGCAAAGTGCTTTCTGTGGTCCACAGATCCCCAGGTCCCCTAATTTTCTGGCGCGTTATCGACAGGTGGGGAGTGTGTGCGGGTGGCTGTACTCACATTCTCGCGTTGGCCATTTCCTCCCTGTGGTATCGAAGCATGTGCTTGGCGAGCACCATGCCAGCAGGCCATGTCTGACCGCCACAGCCGGAAGTGAGGTCTTCGTGAAGCTTCAGCGGCGTCGCAAGCAGACCCGATATGTCAAAGTTGGATGTCTGTGCCGCCTTGTACGCCGGTAGTGGTGTAAAGTCTTCTGCTAATGCAAGAGGGGAGAATTCGGGCGATGCCGCTGAATGCAGAGCAGCCGCCAAGGGACTGTCGAGGATCTTCATAGTGGCCGGGAAACCGCGATCTATTGTAAATAGCTGACTGCAGTATTGGGACAGCACGTCGATGGTGTGCAGCCGTCGTCTCCAGACGGGCAGAAGGGTGATGAGGGAGATGGTGCGCAAGGGACGATCTGAGGGACAAACGCACAGCAAGAAGGAAAGGGGGATGCCACTTCCTCAGAATAGACCCTATCGCGTTTCCCTCGCCTGTCTTCACCGCTGATAGCGCCTTCCTCCGAAGTCCGATACTGACCCTGATGACTTGTATGACGCTCTAGACCCCTCATCGTCCCTTCCGCCACGTCTGGTCCCTTCCATTTTCCCAAATCGCCAGGTCCGCCCCGTTTTGCCCTCCCGGACGTCCCTAGCGAAGTGCTACTGCTACGATAACGATAACACCGTCATCCACCCGGCAGTCATTGGCTGACTGGCTGCTGGCCCAGCCAATAGGCGCCATCGTTAGATCTGTGTTTCTCCCTTTCACCTGTTATTGCTGTTCCCTCACAAACCTCCACCATATCCAGCTCACGAGAACTGGTCCCCACAAACACCAGGTCAGCTTACAACGAGGGGCTTGCTGCCGCGTGGGCGGTTCGCCGGCATGCTGGGTATGCGCGCCGTTTCATACGTGCTCGATGGATTCCGTACATTCCAAGCAGTCGGCCCCCCCCCCCCCCGCCCCGCTTCTTTCTTCAAGGCGTCCGTCTGGGAGGGTATGTCTGACTTCGCCTCCCTCAGACGCGAGGCGCCAACTTGGGAAACCGTTCTCTGGAATGCTGTGACCCCAAAATCCATCATCGCCCTCGCCAAGGATCGCGGTAGCCCATCGAATACAATGGCTTTTACATTTCTCGCGCTGAATAGATCGCCCCTCTGGGTCTTTCGGGTGGCCAAGGTGCCATCCCACTGGCGCGCATCCAACATAGTCGGCCATGGCGAGTAGGGAGATGCTGGTCATCCGCCCGTTCGCTTCCCAGCCCTTTGAAATCTCCATCTCCATGATGGTAGACCCCTTCCTACTCTCTTGCTCTTGACGGGCGGCCTGCCTCTCACTCTCTCGTGATGCCTCTACCCTTCTGAACTCTCTTGTCTTTTGCTCCTCTACCTACCACTTCAACAGGCCACCCGTTCGACTCTTGACCATCAAACTCACGATGGCATCAAGCTTCGTATTGTGGGCTTCGTTGAGCCTCGTCGGCCTCAGTGCTGCCCAACCCGCCATCACCTTTCCGTTCAACTCCCAGCTGCCACCCGTCGCAAGGATAGCGGAGCCCTTTTCGTACACACTCTCGCGACAAACGTTCACGTCCACGTCCAGCATCACATACAGCCTCAACGATGCGCCATCATGGCTGTCAATCGACAACAGCACAGGCCGCCTGTTTGGAACCCCCAAGGAAGATGACGTATCGAAGGGCGACGTGGTCGGTGTGCCCGTCGATGTTGTGGCCACGGACAACTCCGGCTCTGCTACAATGACGGCAACCTTGGTTGTCTCTCGGAACCGGGCCCCCAAAGTGAATAACCCACTGGCTGATCAGATTCAAAAATTTGGCGACCAGTCAGCACCGCACGCGATCGTGTCCTACCCGGCTACGCCATTCTCCTTCTCATTTGCCACCGACACATTTTCGGCCCAAACATCTTTAGACTACTATGCCACATCGGCAGACAGCAGTCCACTACCGTCGTGGATGAAGTTTGACCCGGCGACTCTAACATTCTCTGGACAGACACCTCCATTTGAGACCCTCGTTCAGCCTCCCCAGACCTTCGACTTCCACCTCGTTGCTTCGGATGTAGTTGGATTCGCGGGCGTTTCCATCCTCTTCTCCGTTGTGGTCGGAAGTCGAAAGTTGACCGCCGACAACACCGTCATTCAGCTCAACGCAACTCCTGGCGATGCGATATCATACACTCGTCTCCAGGATGACGTCAAGCTTGATGGGAAAAAAGTCGATAGGTCCGAGGTGACTGTCTCGACTCGTGGCCTGCCGGGTTGGCTCACCTTCAACGAAACATCTCTCATCCTTCAAGGAACGCCCGCCGAGAACGACCAGTCAACAAATGCTACCATAACGTTCCAGACGGCCTTATCTGACACGCTCAACATTCGACTAGCGGTGTTCATCGCGTCTGGCATCTTTCGCAAAAACCTATCTGACATCGAAATCCAGTCAGATAAACCCTTCTCACTTGATCTGGAGCCATACCTGCAGACGCCAGACGATACCACCGTCGAAATCGAGTCTACGCCTTCCCAGGACTGGCTGAAGATTGACGGTTTGCTTGTCTCGGGAACACCACCGAGCTCATCTGAGATAGACGACGACATTCGACTGTCCATAAGAGCAACCTTGAAACGATCTGGAGATAGTGAAACAAAGAACATCCAACTAAGCGTCCTTGCTTCGGGAGAGAAGCCCTCCCCCACAAAGACTTCAGGTCCATCTTCTACCGCGACGCAGACCCAGAGTCCGAAAAAGTCCGGAGAGGCAGGCTCGGCAAACTCATTCGGGTCGGGGATGAGCGCCGGACAGATTATGCTCGCAGTCTTGATCCCGATTTTCGTCATCGCAGCTCTCGTCTTACTGTTCTTCTGCCTTCGAAAGAGACGTGAGCGTAAGTTCAGGAGGATCGAAAGGAAGAATATCTCGGGCCCCGTCCCTGGCAGCTTCACGCAGAACGATAGCCTACACAGCAACAGCCCGTCTATTGCTGAGCCTGCCAAAGCCTATAATTCTATCCCACCACCAGAACCCACGTATCGCCCGGGACAGAGTGGTTATATACGTGCTGCGCTGCAACGATTGCGATCGACGCGCAGTGCTTCGAGCTTTGACAGCGACTCGCATTCAGGTGTGAGCCTCGTTCCGCCAACGCTACCCGGCCTGCGATCCCTGAGCGACAATGCCATATCGGAGTCGAGAGGGTCATGGCTCACTGAGGAAGGCTACCTCGGTCGATTGAGCCGCGGCGGACCGTCTCAGCGACAAAGTCGGAATTCTTTCCTCAGTCTGTACGAGAGCATACGCAAGTTTCCCTCGGGGCCACGTTTCCTTCGTGCGCAGGATGGCAACTCGTTCAGAAGCACCTTGGATATTACTATACCTTCCATGGACGACGATGAGTTTGACCGCAAGAGTATACAGCCCACACCAGAGGTGGCGTACATGTTTGAGAAGCCTGGGCACTCTAAGAGATCAGAGACAGCGACAAGCAGCAATCTGCTCCCCGTGCCTCCTATGCCAGCCGCCGCCTCTGATGCACTGTCTTCCATTCCGGAGCAGATGAGCCCGCTCGGTTCTCACCCTACACACGGGAAAAGGTTTACGGGGACCAACCCGGCTGGTACATTCAAAGTATACAGCGACAGCGACGCTCAGTCGAGCAGCTTCCAGACTGTCTCTGGCTCAAGCGAAGAGCGCAGCGATGGCGTCAGCCTCTATAGACAAATGTCCATGCAGAGCGACATGTCTAGAGCCAGACCTGTGAGCCGTCGTTCTGATGCCAGCCCGTGGTTCGGTAGCCGCTCCGGTGTGCCACCCCGGACCCCGCGACGCCGGCAGACTGTGACATATTCGTCATCCGCATCCGTCCCAACCTCGACGACGGGCTCTTCGGACGCAGAGGTGAACTGGTCAACGATTGCGCCAGGAACCTCGGCAGCCCGCGGCACAGAAAACTGGCAGACGGCCCCTCGCGACTCGCTCGGCATTGCATATGAGGAGCTCGTGCGCGAGTCTCCATTCTACCCAACACAAACTCCGCCACGCCGGCCGCTCAAGTCAGCAAAGAGATCCGTTGGCTCGTCCAACCCTTTGTTTCAGGACGAAAACAGGCGCAACAGCGCATGGATGGGCAAAGGCGTATCTCTTCGACGTGACAAGTCGCGCGAAAGCGAGTCAACAATCAGTCTCATGTCACCGAGCAAATGGGACACTGGTGCCAGGGTACCGCTGGGCAATCGAGCAGCTTCCTCGATTCGACCTGTGAAGCCGTCGGCCGTGTGGCTCGGGGAAAGTGGAGAGCCGTCTCGTTACTCAACGTCCAAGCCTGGTTCTGGGGATTCAGGCTGGGAGACCGAGGCGGGTGCTCCTATGGGAAGGGATGACAGCAGCACCATAGGTGCGACGGCAAGGGATGACAGCCGCAAGGGTGGGCTCGGGAGAACTGAGAGTGACGACTTTGCCGTCTTCATCTAGTTCATCGATTGTTTGTACAGTTTCGTCCGATTTGTCTTTTTCTTATACCCCGGCCCCTCTGGACCAGCCAGCACCTAGACATACTCCATACTAGCAAAACGTATGCTTAATATATTCCAGCCGTCGATACAATAGACAGACTGGTCTCCCAATGTCCGTGTATGACAGTCTTGTGTTTTTCTTTCGAGAGGAAGATGTCATTGATGGTGCATGATCACTGGTGGCAGAAGCAGCAGCAGTACTCACTCCCATGAAGTTCCTTGAGACATCCAGGCATCCTAGACTCAACGGAGAAACGTCATGGGGGCAGAGAGACCACGCGTCGCGTAATATGACTCCCTGTGTTCCGCCACGAAGAAGAAAAACACGACTCAAATTGGCTCGTTTGTCTTCATCCGAGGCTCGGGATTCACACATTGGCCTGGCAAGTGTGATGGGATCGTAGACTGGTTGATCCTTCTCGGTGCAATCACTGACGAGCCCTGGACCGCCCCGCGTTGTCGTGCGCACCAGGTTGGCAGTACCTCAATACGGCAGGTCAGAGAGCAGCAGCAGGGCCAAAACAGCTAGACGCAAGCGCCTCGCCGTGTGGCACTCGCTGGCTGTCTTCATGTCTTCCTCCTGTGTCAGTGGAGTGACTACGTTGAGGATGGCGGCGTCCGTGCCCTCATGAAAAATTGTAGGCAGCCCGGGCGTGTGGCGTGGCGTGCCTGACTTGAGGTACTTCTTTGCTGGATGAGGTAAGGAGAGGTAGGGCTACCCAGAGTGGGATGAAGTGGGGGGAAAGACACGATGCACGCCTCTCGAGGCAGGCAGGCCATCAAGGGATGACGGGAACGGGCTGTGCAGGCAGTGCAGGCAAGGCCAACCAAGGGGCGAGGCCAACGCGCAAGGCAGGGCAAGAATGACAAGGCAGGAATGGCAAGGGCAGACAGGAAGAAGCAACAGGAGGCGTCGCCTGGTGAAGCCTAGTCTCCAGCTACAGCGCACCTGGGCCTGTGACTCCGCTGTAGAACGGCACGACAGGGAACTTGGTCTCCCCCAAATTGGGCCCCTGGCGCGGGCGCCTCCCTCCCCCCTCCCCCCGCTTCCTTTCGTCAGGCGCAGCAGCATCACCACAGGTAGGTAGGTAGGTAGGTAGGTACGGGCAGGCAGACACACCACCACACCACTCCCGTTAACAATCCCGTTGGCTCACAGGCACACCACGGCACACGCGACCTCGCCCCAGACTCCCGAGTGATTTTGCAGCCTTGGGAAAAATTCAAACCCTCTAGACCCCCCTTCGGCATTCAGGCCCAACCTCACCTGTCCTCGCAACATTTGTGACTTGATCACCTCGTACCCCGTCTTGACGATCCAAAGCACCTCCTACCCTGCAGGGCCTGGCCGCGACAGCTCTGATCGACAGTCCACACGCCTTGTCGCTCCCACGACGCTGCTCAGCCAAAACCACCAGCTGCGACCCGGATACCCCGCTCCTGCCGAATCTGCGCGATCTAGAACTTTGCTGCCGAGTACGCCTGCCCATACCGCCCTCCACCTCACCAGTTCACACAATCCGACAACCCTCCTTGCTCCCTCCCCTCCGTCCCTACTATCCCACCCACCTCACCACCTCACCACCTCACACCTTACCACCTCACCACCCCTCCCCCTTCCACTTCCTCGGACGGGTCTTTTTTTCTGCTTCCACGATCGAGTCCCGTTTGAGATACCCCGCGACGACCTTACTCTGACCCGCGCCTCCACTCCCAGGACTCCTCTCTCTCAACGCTCGCACTCTCTCCCTCTTTCCTCCCACCTCGCTCAATCCCTCATCCCTCAAGCACCCTCAGCTCGCCACGCCCGCTCCACTCCGTCAACGACGCCTTTTGACTACCCAGCCATCATGGGTCAGACTCTCTCCGAACCCGTTGTCGAGAAGGTATGTCGTCTTCTCTCCTGCCCGCCTCTGCCCTGAGCGCGACTTGTCACGGTCCCCCTTCCAAAGCCCCAAAACCTCGGCACCACGCCTGGCACGGCGTGTTCCAAAGAGCCTGGCGCCCCCTTCCCCCTCCCCCAGTTGCATCATTTCGCGTCGCGGGGCTTTCTGGCCAAGCCCACATCCCACCTGCAGCCACATAACAAGTCGCGCCCTCGCGAACCCCTCAACGCTTCAAGACGCACATGAACGGCCATGCACATCCACATCACTTCTTCTGCGTGCTGGAGCAAACCGCTGACTGGTCTTTGTGTGTTTCTTGCCTGACAGACTTCGGATACCGGCGAAGATGCGCGCCTCATCTACGGTGTCTCTGCCATGCAGGGCTGGCGGATAAGCATGGAGGACGCCCACAGCACCAAGCTCGACCTCCTCCCTCCCGGCAGCGATGAAGCGAAGCAGCATGCCTCCCGGCTCTCCTTTTTTGCAGTCTACGACGGTCATGGCGGTGATAAAGTAGCCTTATTTGCTGGCGACCAGCTGCACGAGATTGTCCGCAAGCAAGAAACTTTTAAGAAGGGCAACTATGAACAGGCGCTGAAGGATGGCTTCCTGGCCACGGATCGCGCTATCCTTAACGGTAACAGAAAAATTCTTGCGCACCTGGTCAAATCGGCACTCAGCTGATTTCTTCGTGCGCCACTGCAGATCCCCGCTACGAAGAGGAGGTCTCTGGTTGCACCGCCTGCGTCAGCCTCATCAACGATGACAAGATCTATGTCGTGCGTCTCAACCCCTCTCCGAGCCCTTCCCACACAGCGCTTCTTCGGTTGCTTCACCACCGGCACCCGGCGCCGTCCGAGTCGCATCTGCTAAGATTTCCAATAGGCCAACGCTGGTGACTCGAGGGGTGTTCTGGGTATCAAGGGCCGCGCCAAGCCCCTGTCGCAAGACCACAAGCCCCAGCTCGAAGGTGAGCATCTCAGCGGCTGCCGCATTGGCCCTTGTGAGAAGGATTTTGAACTAACGATTGGGGGGTTAATCCCCTCTACCTCTTTAGCCGAGAAGTCCCGCATCACCGCCGCTGGTGGTTTCGTCGACTTTGGCCGCGTCAACGGCAACCTTGCCTTGTCGCGTGCCATTGGCGACTTTGAATTCAAGAAGAGCGCCGAGCTCTCTCCTGAGGCGCAAATCGTCACCGCCTTCCCTGACGTCGAGATTCACGACATCACGGATGACGATGAGTTCCTGGTCCTCGCGTGCGATGGTAAGCCGAAAACTGATTTGTCGTGCCTTCATCCCCGAGAAACCGTCGCTGACTCCTATTTTGCTCTCAGGTATCTGGGATTGTCAGAGTTCTCAGGCTGTGGTCGAGTTTGTCCGCCGCGGTATTGCCGCCAAGCAGCCCCTGGACAAGATCTGCGAGAACATGATGGACAACTGTCTGGCGTCCAACTCGGAGACTGGTGGTGTCGGCTGCGATAACATGACCATGACGATTATTGGTCTCTTGCGCGGCAGAAGTAAGGAGGAGTGGTACGAGGAGGTTGCCAAGCGGGTTGCTGCCGGTGACGGACCATGCGCTCCTCCCGAATACGGTACGACATCATCATCACCCAAATCGTCCTAGAGCAATGAACGGGGACACCAGCCAGCCCCATGCATATCCTCCTGAAGCCACTGCCCTTCTTGACTTCTCGATTCCGTTGCATCCATTTTCTACCACTTGTTGAGGGGACACCCTGGCTGATCTGATCGCGTGCCTCCACAGCGGAATTCCGGGGACCCGGTGTTCACCACAACTTTGATGACAGTGAGGGCGAGTACGAGGTGGATCAGGAGCAGAAGGGTGGCAAGAACTTTGGCATCAGTGGCTACAAGGGCCGTATCATCTTCCTTGGCGACGGTACCGAGGTTCTCACCGACTCTGACGACACGGAAATGTTTGATAACGCCGAGGAGGACAAGGACCTCGAGAGCCAGGTTTCCAAGGGCTCCTCAGCGGCTTCCTCCTCCAAGGACGGCGAGGCGACCAAGACCGAGGGTGACTCCAAGGCTGATGCATCAAAGTCTACCGACGAATCCAAGCCCGCCACGACCGCATCCGATGTCAAGGCCGCCGAGTCTGCGCAGAGCGAGTCGAAGGAGGAGGCCAAGGCCTCCGCCTAGATTAGGCTTCCCCCTTGATGCGAAGAGACACCAACACACTAAGGAGCAGCAGAGCGTTTGGCATAAATGGCTTGGCATGACGAGATATGAATGGGGGGCATGGGCAAGTCTACTTGGGACTGGATGAGTGATAATGGCCCGGGCGGCAGCGGACGGGACGGCTGGGAGATGTTTTCTATTGTTTTCTTCTTTCATCGCGCTGGGTGCAAGGGAGATTTTGAACTTCGACTCCGACTCTGGGCGTCGTCCAGAACGGGATGATGCGGGACCGGGGGGCGGCGGTAGACAGGACCGGAGCAGCGGGCGCGTAAGAAAGTCGTCGAGATACCGACCCTGCTCACTATCGTCGTGTTGCGCTTTATTTGGCGGCAGCAGTATGTGTCGATATCACGAAATCCACTTGCATAACGAAATTCGGGAGCACTTCGTGCGTGTGCGCAAGACATTTGCTGGGGAACTTGTCTGCAAACATATTCTGCGGACCGGTCCGTTCAACTCGCTGTGCTGTCTGTGTTCGTGAGCTACATCACAGAAAGACGACCGAAGCAATCTAGTAAAAAGGTGTGAATGCTCCGAGTATGGTAGGTATTTCAACAGTATGGTACAGGTCATCAAAATCTACAAGGCCGCCATGCATCCGACAGCGCAAGCGGGCCATCTATTCTATCCGTTTACACCCAGGCCGCGCCGTACAGTCAACTCCAAGGGAAGGGCGGCGAGCATCCCATCGGGGCTCATTCTTTCTACACGGTCGTTTTAGAACGATGTGCGTCGAGGGATGATGTATCGTCTCCTGTCTCGTATCAGGCGGTCGGAGTCCCCTTCTCCCCCGTGTCTGTATTCGTAGTCTTCCTCTTCTTTTTCTTCGCCCGTCTCTGCGTCGCGCTCAGGGTGCGCCGGAAAATGGTCATGTACAGTTGGCTATCGGCGGCCGGCGTCTCGGCTGCTGTCGACAGCGACGCAGAGGAGGTCGAGGCTTCTCTTGCTCCGTCGTCGCGGGTCCCGGACGCGTCGGCCGGCCGCCGCGCGACGAGGGGCAACGGGAGGCCCTGCTCCTGGATGCGCCGGGGTGCGTGTTCGTCGACGGGGTCCGCGGCACGGGGGCGCTCGAGGTCGCGGTCGGCTTCCAGGGCCTCGGCGAAGAGGACGTGGAGGGGCCGGGCAAGGTGCCAGTCGCTGGCGCGGGAGTAGCGTTTGCGGTAGAGGTGCGCTATGCGGGAGCCCGTGTTGGCGGGGAGGTGGGCGAGGTCGTCGTCGCTGGTGGTCGGGGCGTGGGAGGGGGGGAGGAGGGCGGCGAGCATGTCGGGTTCGTGGAAGGTGGGGAGGGCGGCGTGGTTTGCGTATTGCGCTTTGGGCTGGTTCTTCGGGGATGGTGCTGGTAATGGCGACGGCAAGGAGGAGGAGGGGGTGGAGGAGGAGATGCGGCCTTGGTCCAAGGTCTGCTGTTCAGTCTCCGGGAGGCCAAGGAGGAAGGGGCAGGCTTCGTAGATGGCCGCGACGCGGACGCGCATCTCGTGCGTCTCGCAGCGGTGGATGCAGGCGAGGCGCCACACGAGGCCCATTGTGTTGGGTTTGCGCAGGACAAAGGCGAGGGTGAAAAGCTCGTGGTACGACGTGCTGTCGAGGGTGACATTGTGCTGGTAGAAGCGGTAGAGCGCGGCCGCGGCCGCGGCGGGCTGCCGCTGGATGTGGGCATGGCTCAGCATCGTGTTGAGCGTCTTGATGCCCACCTTGACCGAGGGCCAGCGCGGCGCCTTGTCGAGCAGGTCTCGGCACGAGGCCAGCTTGCCCTGCCGGCCGAGCTCGTTGAGCATATTGTTGAAGGACGCCGTCGTGATCCAGCCGAAGCCGTATTTTTGGTTCTGCGAGTCGATAAAGGCCGACAGGCCGCTCCAGTTGCCCCGGGCCTGCTGCAGATCGTGCATGATGAACCGCGTCGCGATCATACGGCTGGCGCGGGGGTCGTCGAGCAGCCCGCGCTCGTTCATGGCGCGGAGTACGTGCTGCTCGACCTCGTTGTTCTTGACGATGGCCAGGAACAGCGACCACGTCTTGAGCGTGGGTACGTAGCCGCGACGGGCCATGAGGGAGACGATGCTCCCAAAATTGCGGAGGTCGTCGAGCCTCATGTTGCCCGTCAGTAATGTGTTGAAGACCTCGACGTCCATGGGCAACGACGCTGCCTCCATCCGCACAAACAGCTCGCGCACCTGCGGCCGGAACACCACGCCATGGCTGCCCATCCACTTGAGCACCGTCTTGAAGGCACTCGTCGAGAGAGATGATCGGGTTTCCCGTGACTGGAAAACGTCCATGATGAGATGGAGCACCGCCTCGCGTGCCTTCATGCCAGATTCGTACAGCTCAGTAGCCTTGTAGTGCGGCATCTTTGCCCTCACGAGAGCCGTGACGTAGGCCTCAAAGGTTTCCGGCGTCCAGTATAACGGACGGGGATAGTCTTCAAATTTATAGAGTATGGTCCACTCGGGAGTGAAGCCAGGTTTCTCCAGCGGTTTTGTGCTGGTCCAACGACGCGGCTTGCTCTTTCTGGACCCGTTCTTCTGGATGGATGTCGAGCTCGTCGCCGGCAGCGGCTGGTGTTCCACCAGACCGCTAGCCGCTTTCGTCGTCGTCGTCGTCGCCGCCGCCGCCGTTGGCGTTGGCGGACTCGATTCGGCAACCTGTCCGGCAATATAGGCAATCTCGGCCTTGGCCGCCTCGACGGCGTGATCGAAGCCCATCAGAATGATGCGTTTGCCAGGGGGCCGCAGGGATTCGCTGGCCGACGACTCGTCCATGTCGAGCCGGCAGTCGGTCCTCTCGGCAATATCCCAGATGGTCTGGTCAGTCCCGTACAGCAACCGATCAGCCACCTGCCGCGTGACGACGAGCGTGCGGCTGGCCTGGGACAGCGTGCGGGCGCCCTTGGGCGCCCTGTTCGACAGAATGGTGAGCACCTTGCGCCAGTCGGCCGTGTCCTTGCCCTTGCCCTTCCGGATCTCGTCGAGCCGCAGCTGCTGCCACAGGGCCCGGTGCTGGCGCTGGCGGCTGGCGTTCGTCTCGCGGACGGAGGCGTAGACGACGCTCCCCTTGTCCATGACGGAGCCGGTCGTGACGGCGGCCTCGATCGCCTGGGCGTCCTCCTCGACGTCGTACAGCAGCGTGTCGAGAAACTGCCTCTTCATGGCATCGTGCATCGACTCGGGCTGGAGCGCTGGAGCGATGCGCATGGGCGGCGCCGCGTCCATCTCGGGGGCCCGACGCGGCGACAGGGCTGAACGTCGAGCATCACCGAGCTTTCCCGCATCGGGGGCGGCAGCGGAAGCAGCAGAAGCAGCAGCGAGCCCCGATGCGAGGCGGCGTCGCACCCACGGGAGCCACGGCCCGCGACCGCAACCCGGAGAACCCCTGGGAATCAGCGGGTTCCCAGCGTCGCGGATCGACAGCGGCCGGGCTCGCCACGCTTGCTTGATCCCCAGGGACATTGGCTATGAGCGGTTCATTCTTGGTGGTGTGTGGTAGGGTCGGCGTCGGGATCGAATCGGCGCATGTGTCTTCGGTTGGGTACTGTATGCGTAACCTGTGGTCTTTGATCAATCGTTTGTATCTGTCGGTTGAGAAACGGGTCTGCTTGCTTCCATGTCTCCAGACAGCCTTGGGGGGGGAAAGGACAATTTTCGCGCCGGGGACCGACTTGTCGACTCGCCGATAGGCGATAAGGCGCGGCTGGCGCGGCTGGCGCGGCTGTGGAAATTGTCCGGCCAGGCGCGTTTGCTCCACCAGTCGAGCTACATGTATGTCCTGAACGTCTCACTGAGCCATGGTCACACATTCAGAGCAGAGCAGCATGTTTGAATCGATTCTGCCGTGTTCGTATTATGCATATCGTATATTGGTAGGAAATGGGTATACCGTGCCTCAAACCCCTGAAATGGCGTTGTGCCTCATGGGAGCTTGCCCACATTGGGTTGTGCCGGGCCGCTCTGGTCCACGCCCTCCAAGGCCTCGCTCCATCCCTCCTTGCCCTCGACGGCGCCCCTCGATTCGCCGTTCTCTGCCACGCCTTTCACGTCGCTCCAGTATGATAATCGCCTGACCTCCTCGTCCGCGTGCTTGATGGCGGCGCCCAGGTTATTCCGTCTCGTCTTGAACGCCGCATCTCCCTTATCGACATTGTTCATCTCGTCATACACCTGAGTCAGGCGGCTCAGCAAGATCCGCCTCGACACCTGGAAGACGAATATGCCCATAATGTCGTGCATCTCGTCCTGGAGCCGCTCGAGGTCGTCCTTGGCGTGCTCGAGATAGTTGTCCACCGCCTCGATTTTCTCCCGGTCGATGCGCGCCGCGCGGAGCACCATCATCAGCATCCACACGTCCTCGATCACAGGCTTCTCGTCCAGAACGCTCTCGGTGGTGGAGAACCGGCCGATGCTGCCCTTGCTGTGGATACTCGCCTTACTATGCGTGCTCGCCCTGCTCCCCTGCCGACTGCCCCCGTGCGACGAATGGGGCCGATGGTGCTCTGCGGGCATGACGTTGAAGTAGTCCGTGTTGAGCATGTGAGGATCCGAGGCCAGGTCGTCGCTGCACTTCTTGACGCGTTTCCGGATCCAGGCCCGCCTCCTGACGAACGAGTTCCACCACTTGGGGCCATGCCACGAGAACTTTCTGGCAAACATGAACGAATACTCCCACCCGAATTCGTCCATGGCCACGCCCTCTTCGCGGTTGATGCGCCATTCAGGCCACGCCCACTCCCAACTCGGATCAGGGACCGTCGCCGTCCTGATGCTGGTCGGGCTCGTCTTCTTGAACTGATTCGTCCAGGGCGACGGATCAAGGTTGCCGAGGGCAGCGCCCGAGAAGAGAGCCGCGCCGCAGACGAAGCAGCCTCTCTCATTCTCCCACAGGATATCAATCTCGGATTCGGGCTCTTTGCGCTGCTTGGACTTTGGTCGCGCCGTGTCGCCATGGGCGGCCAGTGTTGGGGGCTCGAGGGGCGTAGGACCTTTTTTTGGCAACAATGCGTTAGCACGCCTACCGAGATAGGGGAGGTGAGGAGGGATTGGCTGGATGTACACACCTTCTACCTCGATTGATGGACCCGTTTGCGCCGATTCCCGAGCGCCGATGGGACTCTCATCTTGTCCTCGGTCTGCCTGTGTGTCGTCGGCTCCTTGTCGGTTGTCGAGAGATATTCGCCCGGTCGTCGCAGCACTGTGCTGTCTATCGTGTGGGCTCTGCTCTCCCTCGACGCTCCGCACGTGCTGGGAGGAAGATTGGTCCTCGTCGACTGTAAGGGCCGTGTTGCTTGTACGGGCCGTGTTGCTCCTGGAGCGAGTCGTCGGTGGTGATTCCTGGTCGACGAGGCCTATTTCATGATCATAGTCGCTGTCTTTCAGAGTCTGGACCCGACGAGACGTGTGGAGTGACAGGTTCGGCATGGCTACGTCTCGTCGCTTGGCATGGCGGTTGCCCGAGTCGACACGCTTGCTTCGCCGCCTCCAGAGATGAGAAGCGGGCGCGTGTCGCGAGGTCTAGCGAGATGGCAATGCAGGACGAATGGATGGACGATGGAGAAGTGAGCGGAGAGAGAGAGAGAGGGGAGGGGGGGGGAGAGAGAGCTTCTGCAGAGTAAGGTAGCCCCCCGAGTTGGTGGGACGGGATGACGAGTCTAGCACGGAGGCCGGGAGGCGTTGGCCTAGGCGCTAGAGCGACTTGGACTGGTTCGTCTGGAACAGAGCAGAGCGGGAGGACCGCCCGGGTTGGATTGATGAGCGTGCGCTTGGCTGGGTGGTATACTCTGTTCAGGGCTATGAGGCAAAGAGAACGCAGTGCGAGGCGTGTCACGATGGTTTGACGTGTAGACCTTTCGACCGTGGCATCAGGGAGGGGGGCTTGAGGCTTAGCCCCTGGTGGTCAATGTTGCACCCAACCAGACCTCAGGCCGGGGGGGAGGGAGGAATCAGGGATTCGAAGAATTGAAGGTTCTAGGGCGCAGGGTGAAATTGTGGCAGCGACAGGCTGATCTAATTCAGACCAGGGGAGGAAGGGTGGTGATGGGTGGTGGCTGCGAAGACACTGTCCTCCATAGCTGCGACTCCATGGCCGGTAGCATGGCCCCCTCGGGCGTGCCGTGCGCGGCTGAAAAGATCCAGATCCAGATCCCAATCCAGGCAGGTCTAGCTGGGTCTTGTGCTGTGCTGTGCTGCGCTGTGCTGTGTTCGATGACGCAAATGGCTCCTCGTGGCTAGTGATGGGCCCCCCCTGGGCCACCGGTCCTGAGATTCTCCACCTTCCGCCTGCAGGTCGGAAGGGACAGGGGGATGATCCTCGAGCTTGACAGTGGAACTGGAGTTCGTCAAATGGCATTTGCATTCCGGATCAGCAAAAGTCTCCTTACATTACCTAGAGGTACCTAGGTGCGAGTCTTCGCGAGTCTGCTTTGTTGGGTCTTGCCTCTGGACCTCTGACATGATGGAATGCGTGTCTTGCCTGCCACCCTAGGGACCTACCTACCTAGGTACGTAGGTACCTGAGATACGTGGATGAAAAGCAGGCCCGTGCTTGCCTGCATTCAGGACCTGTACATGTATAGCCTGGCGCGCTTGCCAAGGAACAGAACTGGTACCGTACAGACGCATGATCCAAGACGGGTCCCCGCATTTCCCGGCACTACGTCATGTATCATGATCCAACAGCTCGATCACTCTTGCACCAGAAGATGCGCCCAGAGCGGAGAGCAGAGGGGGGAAGCTGCCAGGAATTGGAGACATAGCTCCGATCTGAGCGAATGAGCGTCCCGAGTTGGCCCGCCAGGCCTTGTGTGACAGGTAGACACACACACATAGAGAGAGAAAGAGATAGAGAGAGAGAGAGAGAGAGGCTGGGACCAGTAGGAAGACAGCCAGAAGAGCCAAGAGACAAGTGACTTGTTGGAAGGCGTGATGTCGTAGGCACAGCCGGGAGCAATAAGTACTTTCCCATCCGCCTGCCCTCTCGTCTGGCCTTCCCTCCCTCACTTCTCTCACACTCACCAATCAATCAATTCGCTGCACCTTGACGATCACAGCTTCTACCGACACACATACACACACACCACGCCTCCCCCATAACCCAACGACCATCCATCACCATGTCCAAGTCCAAGGCTCCCCTCGCCATCGGCCTCACTGCCGCCGGCGGTATCGGCTACTACCTGTTCGCTGCTGGTGGAAGCCCCAAGGTCGCTGAGAAGAAGGCTGAGGGTAAGCGCAACTGTTTCCCCCCGTCCCGATACATCGTTCTGCTGGCTGACCATGACCTCCCCTCCTGCAGCCGACGCTCACAGGGCCGCTGCCAGCATCAAGTCCCACCTTCCCGGTCGCGATGTCGGCGCCCAGGGCACTCTGGGCGATGCCGCCGCCCGCACCGGTGCCAAGATTGACCATGCTGTAAGCCTTCCTGCCCTTGCTTTTTGACTGCTCCTCCCCCCCCAACCCGCAGACCAGAGTCCTGTGCTGACCAACGTCCCAGGCCGCCGAAGCCGACAAGCAGTTCGGCATCGCGAAGAGCAACGCTGAGGCCTTCGCCAAGGACGCCAAGGCTGAGACGCTCAAGAGCATCAACGAGTTCGACCACAAGGTCGAGAACAAGGCCGCCGAGGTCAAGAAGGCCGCGTCCTCCTGGTTCAGCAGCGGCAACAAGCCCTGAGCTCGCCGTTCCTCGTTTCACACCGTTCGACCCTGGGGTAAAGTGCGTGGAAAGGCGTTACACCGATTCTGCTGTAGGACTATGACATGGCGACCACGGATGGCGTGGTGGCCACAGGGACGCTGTTTCTTCTAATTTTCTTCGGTTTCACACTTCCTTCTGTTCACACAACATGGAAGGGCACGGCGACATGATATAGTAATTGATGACCACCACCAATCCGATCCAACCTGGAGAACGATCCATTGACCCTGCCCTCGGGCTACCTGCGACGTGTTGAATATGATACTGTTTTCGCTGCAATTCCAAGAGTACACTGCTTCTCTGTCTTGTACATTTTTTTGACGTTCCGTCTTTACCTTTCTAGACTGTTGGCCACCAGGTTGAGGATCTCCTCCGTTCCCTTTCTCGCGTTGGCTGGGCGCTTCGCAATCGCCTGCCAGTATTCGCCGTGTCTCGGCTCGACGAGCACACACTTGGTGATGACCTCGCCCCGTTTCTCCTGCGTGCAATTGTCAGCCTCGTGTACCGGGGGTGTCCGTCCAGCATCCAGCCCGAGGGGGGTTTCACTCACTTCTGTGCCATGCTGGAGGAGGAACTTGTAGTACCAAGCCCACGTGTCGCCGTTGTTGCTGTCGAGCACCAGCGCCTTCTCGAACCAGTTCTGCGTCTTCTCCAGCTTGCGCTCGCCCCAGAACAGCCGCGCCACGGCGACGAAGAGGATGGGGTCGTTGTCGACCTTTTTGATGGCCTCGAGGCTGCGCGGCTTGCGCTGCGTGCGCGCCTCGAGGTGCCAGATCTGCTCGCTCCACAGCAGGCCGCTCTTGGGCACCTCCTGCAGCGCCTTGGCCATGAGCGACTTGGCCTGGTTGACGTTGCCGGCGCGGCGCTCGACGCGCACCGACTCGCACCAGAGCGCCGGCGACCTGGGCACGGCGAGGCGCGCGCGGTCCAGCACGGAGCGCGCCTTGACCACGAGGCCGGCGCGCTCCTCGAGCCGCGCGTACAGGAGCCAGAGCGGCACCGACGCGGGCACGGCCTTGACGCCCGTGCTGTACGCCTCGCGCGCCTGGCCGAGCTTGTCGAGGTCCTCGTAGATCTGGCCCTTGAGCATCCAGAGCTTGGCGGCCGCGGGGAAGTACTGCAGCGCCTGCTGGACGAGGTCCAGGGCGGCGTCCGTGTTGCCGAGCACGCGCTCGAACACGACGCTCTTCATCCAGACGCGGTCGGTGGGCGCCTTGTCCCGCGCGTCGTCCAGCAGCTTGCGCGCCCGCTCCGGCTGGTCGTTCTCGGCCTCGAGCTTGACGGCAGCCAGCCAGATGTCCTCGTTGTCGGGGTTCTGGTTGAAGGCCCGGGCGAGCACGCGCCGCGCGTTGTCGACCTCGCCGGCCTGCCACTTTTCCTTGGCCAGCATCATCCACAGGACCTCGCTCTTGGGGCAGGCGTCGACGGCCTTCTCGAGGACCTGGCACAGCGACTCCTTGTTGCCGTGATTCCTCTCGAGGTCGGCCGCCGCCATCCACAGCGTCCTGCTGTTGACGAAGACGCGGAGGGCGTAGGAGTAGATGGCCCGTGCCGTTTCGTACATGCCGCGGTTGATGCTCCCCCTGGCATCGTCCATCCACGTGTCTTTTCGATCGTCGTCCTCGTCGAGCCCCCAGCCGAGCGTCTCCTTGATGATATCGCCGCACGTGGCGACGGCGCCCTCCTCCTCGCACTTCTCGGCCTCGGCGATCCATTCCTCGCGTTTCGGCATGGCCGCCTCCTTGACCAAGACGTTGACAGCTCGCTTCATCACGTTGACGCTGGCCCCCAGCTGCTCCTGTAACCTGGCAGCGGCGATCCAGATTTCGAACGATGTCGGCACCGCCTTTCTCGCCTTGTTCAGCACCTTTTGTGCGTTTTCGGGCGTTTCCAGCCGCGCCAGCGCCAGCCAGAGGTCGACCGACAGGGGGATGATCTCGGTCGCCTTGGCCAGCAGCAGGCGAGCGTCCGTCTGGTCCTCTTCGAGATTGACGGCCTCCTTCCACAGCGCTTCCGAGTCGGGAATGTGATCCAGCGCCAGTCGGATGACCCTCTTCTTGGCCCGTGGCTCGTTCTCCAACCGCATGGCCTCGACCCACAAGAGCACCGACTTGTCGTTCTTCTTGATGGCCTCGGCGGCAATGATCTTGGCGTTGCGGACATCGTTGAGCCTGATGTTCTCCAGCCAGACGTCGACGTTCTTCGGGCACTTTTCGCAGCCCCGCGCGATGACGTTGCGGGCGGCCACCGTCTTGCCCGCCAGCTCCTCGAGGCGCGCGCCGGCGATCCAGCCTCCGGGGCTGTTGGGGTTCGTCTTGGTGACGGACGTCAGGAGCTCCCGCACGCGGTTGATGTCGGCCACCTGCGCCTGGGTGCCGTTCATCATGCTCTTGTCGAGGCTCGTGATGTAGCCCTTGGGGTCGATGCTCGTGGCGCTGCCGGCGGTCGTGTCGGCGCCGCCGAGGGACGACGCCTGCTCGAGGCGCGACTTGAGCACCTTGTCGCGGGCGGCGCCAATCTTGGCAAAGTTGGTCATGGTGCCGTCGGCGCCGTCGGGGCCCGGGGCGACGCCCTCGTCGGACACGGTGGTGCCGAGCTCGGAGGCGTCGCGCGCCGCCGCCAGCACGCTGTCGGGGACGGCGTACTGGCGCTGGCGCAGGGCGGCGCGCGCGCGCTTGTTCTTGCCCGTGAGGTCGCCGACCTCGGGCAGGCTCGCCCACTCCTCGTCGGTGACGGTGCCGAGGGCGCGCTTGAGGTCGGCAAACTGCTGGGAGATTTTCGGGTTGTTGCGCTCGTACTCCTCCTTCTCGGCCAGCTCGCGGGCCTCGCGCTGCTTCTGCCGCCGCTTGCCCATCTTCTCGTCGACCTCCTGCCATATCCTGTCGGCCTCCTCATCGTCCTTGTCGTAGAGCCCGCCGGCGAAGAGGCCGACCTCGTTGTCGGGGTCCTTGAACCGGTCGTCGTCGCCGCCCTTGTCGTCGTCCTTGTCGTCGCCCTTTTTGCCGTCGGCGCCGATGCCGAGCTGCGCTGCACGCTTGGCGACGGCCTCTTTGATCTGGTCCTCGCTGGGTCCCTCGCGTGCCGGGCCCAGATCGGATCGTGTCGTGAAGCCTGTCGCGCCACGGCCGATGCCAGCAATGTAGTTCTCGGGCGCCGGTTGGCTGAGGAAGTCGCGCCGACTGGCCATGGTGCCGCGTTTTCGGAAGAGGTCGTGACAGGAAAGAAAGAGTTTTTTGTTGCAACTCCTAGCATACAGGGCGTCGTGGGTGTTGGGAGAGGATGGGGGATGATCTCTCTCTTGCTCGAGAGTCACTGCCTTGGGAGGGCTGTCTTTCGGCTGCCTTTCTGGAGATGGAGCTGTTGGCGCAAGGCTGAAGGTGCACTAAAGTTTTAGGTGGCGGATCCCTGCACGTCTTTCTCTCTCTCTCTCTCGCTCTCCACTTTATTTTTCGAACGGCTGCAGAACTGCCCCGCGATCACCGACAAATTATTTCGACGGCGGGATCCCAGCATCGCGACCGACACCGACTACAAGAACACACGCCCCGGCTCGACTGCGATCCTCCACCCCCTCACCCGAAGACTGGCGAAAGCGATCCAAAATCGGGCACCGAACACAGAACCTTGTCACCATGGGAAAGGCACAGGGTGGCAAGCGCAACAGCAGCGCGGCGGGCTCCTCGCCGTATGCCAAACCGCAAAAGTCGAACAATGTCTTCAAGTTCAACGTATGACCACCTCCGCTCGCCGACCGCTTGAACCGTGCTGACTCTCCTCTCTTCTCTCTCCCAGACGAACGTCGGCCAGCATATTCTCAAGAACCCCGGTGTCGCAGACGCCATCGTTGCCGTACGTATCCTCCGACTCCTCTCTGCTGTTTCGCGCGGGACACTAGGCTGACCATGCCGCACGAACTACAGAAAGCCGGCCTCAAGCCTACAGACACAGTCCTCGAAATCGGTCCCGGTACCGGTAACCTGACGGTCAGGATATTGGAGAATGCGAAAAAGTTGATCGCCATCGAGTTTGACCCGAGAATGGCGGCCGAAGTGACAAAGGTCGGTGCCCTACACGCAGCTGGGGATGATGGGAGTGTATGGGCGGCGCTGACCATGCGTGCAGCGCGTACAAGGCACACCGGAGCAGCGAAAGTTGGAGGTCATGCTGGGCGATGCGATCAAGGTCAGTCTCTTGCTCTCCCTCTGCTTGGAGATCCCCCCCCCCTCTGCATGGCGCAAGGCCACGATACGACGGGCAGATTCACTGACGCTCGATCCGCCAGGTCGACTGGGTGCCCTTTGACGTCCTCATCTCCAATACACCGTACCAGATTTCTTCGCCGTTGGTCTTCAAGATGCTGGCCATGCCCAAGCCGCCGAGGCAGGCCATTCTCATGTTCCAGCTCGAGTTCGGACAGAGGCTGGTGGCCAAGCCGGGCGACAAGCTCTACGGCCGGTGAGCACCCATCACACGCCGTTCACGTCAAGACCGATCTAACAAAGTCACACAGATTGAGTGTCAATGCCAACTTTTGGGCGACCTGCTCCAATGTCGTACGTCCTGCTCTCGCATCTACAGCGCCTCGCCGACCCTGCATGCTAACTGGCGCAGATGAAAGTGTCCAAGGCGAACTTCAGGCCGCCCCCTCAAGTCGACTCGTGCGTCGTCCGCATCGTGCCCAAGCAGGGCAGCGAGCGTCCCAACATTGCCTTTGAGGAGTTTGACGGCCTGCTCCGGATCGTAAGCACAACCACCTTTTCCGTCTCGCCTGTACGAAACACGACTGACTGAGCGATTCCAGTGCTTCAACCGCAAGAACAGGACCATGCGCGCGAGCTGGCTAGGGACGAAGGAGGTGCTGTCCATGCTGGAAAAGGTACGTCTGGCCGCGGCGCGCAGCCCCACGCGAGACGTTCCCACGCTAACGTGATCGCCAGAACTACCGCGTCTGGGCCGCCATGAACAACGTGGCCCTCGACGACTCGCTGGTGGAGGAGGAAGAGGACGACGCGGCCGACGAGGAGATGGACCTCGACGGCGACGCCGCCGAGCAGGACGACGACGGCGCGACCGACTTCTTCGCCGCCCTCAAGCCGGCCGAGGTGGAGAAGACGAAGAGCAAGCGCAAGAAGACCAAGGTCGCGGCCCTCGTCCGCCACAAGATTGAGAGCGCGCTCGAGAAGACGGAGCTGCTGGAGAAGCGCGCCAGGCAGTGCGACGAAACGGACTTTTTGAAGCTCCTGCACGCGCTCAACTCGGAGGGCATTCACTTTGCATGAGCATCTACGTCGTATACATGAGAAGAACAAAAACAACACGACTGGAGCATGGGCAGGCGGAGAGGTCACAGTTGCTATTTTCCTTGGGCAGGGTGTTTTGGGAGTTTTGGTTACTTGAGAAAGAAAAAATGGGAGAGAGAGAGAGAAAGAGACATACACCTCTGAACAGTAGGTTAGATTGGCCCACGGATTCTTCTTGCCTCTTTTCCGTCGAGGAACGGCATTCGCTCGAGGCACAATAAATCCCCCCAGCATGGGTACTTGATGACGCATTATCGTCATTATCCTTACCCACGTTACAGGCGCGGAGCCCTGGTCATGTGTTCGAATGAAAACCAACCCGACGAACCAACGAGCGAAGCGCACATCACATACCGAGGCTGCCGTCCCTCTCATTCCCTTCCAAATGAACATGGACCCCCAAAGCTGGGAGGAGAAAGGACCCTTCGCTCATCTTGCTTCTTCCTCGAAGAGCAGCCCCCACGGGTGCCGAAAAAGGGTCTCGGGCAGCCATGACCTCTTCCTCCCCCTGGTATGCGGTCTGTGGTCAGGGAGCAAGCGGCGGCGGCAGCGAGGGCCCATTAACCTACCCCCACGAGAGGGAGAGAGCGAGAGAGATGAGAGGGACGGCTGGGATGATTGGTGAAGCCCCTAATAAAAGTGCTCACGACCGACGAGCACCATCAACAAGTCGCGCCAGCACAGCACCAGAGCCACCCGCCTGCGGCTGTCCAACGGCACGGCCACGTCCATCTACTGCGCAGGCATCAATGCTGCTGCTGCCCAGGATGAGCACTAATCAACGCCGGGTTCCTGCGCAGATGATCAAGGAAGGGCCCGCTTCGGGAGCGCGAGCGCGCGTGCGCAAGGCCGGAACACTATGGGATGAGCCGACGGGGGTAGTGCTGGTGGTGGGCTCGCTGGCCAGTTGGCAGGATAGCCTTGGCCGAGTGGGTGATGGTGACAATTTGGGGAATGGCAGCAAAACTGGCAGAATCGGACGTCACAAGGACCGGCGGCGGCAGCAGGTTCGTCGCAGAGCAAGCAGCGGAGGGCTGCAAGCAGGGAAGGCCCGGGGGGGGCGGTCAGGATGCCATGTGCGTGGGTGTTCCAGTCCATGGTGATCGGTGAGGCTTTGGGATGAGAGGCGCGGGCGACGTGGTCGCCTGGCGTTCGTCAACGTCGAGCGGCAATGTGTGGGAGGCGCTGCGCCACATGTTGGGTCCCTCGGCCCAGATGCCTGGGTGACTGACACAAGGGACAGGATGCCGAATACTCATGGCTCAGTTGGGGGGGGCAGGCCTTGTCTGTGTCTGGCGAGTGCCATGATCACGGGTCGGTCACCCGAAGATGAGCTGCGAGTGCCAATTTGGCATGAGGGTGAACAGGGCCGCTCGGCGAACCTGTCGCACAACATGACCACCCAGTCATCACCGCTCGCCCCCGGCCCACCTGTTCTGCCCGCCTGTTCTGCCCGTACTGTGCCATGCCAGCGTGTGGCCGAAGCGAGATGGTCGTTTTATCATGTTTAATCAGCCAGCGCGGCGGTGACGTCGGGTCTCAGGTCTCTCTCCACGGACCAGGACCCTGCCGTTTGACAATGTGCGAAAAAGCCAGCGGCAGCGGCAGCGGCAGCACCAGCACCAGCACCAGCATCAGCATCAGCAGCCAGTAACTTCTGTCTCGCTGGTCGGAGCCTCGAGCAAGGGCCGACCGGACATGACGGGCTGATGAGTTGGCCTGCGTTGCCCACCGCCTGCTGTTCCAAAAAGGAACCTTCTCCTTGCCTCGCTGCCTGGCCTCGCAAGTTGCCTCTTCGGTGGGGGAGAGGAGACAGACAAGTCAGGAAGAAATGTCTGCAATGTCACCTCAGTGCCGTTTGGCAGGCCGTCGCCAGACCACATGTCCGATGTTCTTCTTTGTGACCTGTGTTCGAGGATGCACAAGCATGGGGGTTGGCATCCGCCCACACACAACTTTGGTCTGGGTCCCGACTACTGACACAATTATCCTTCGTCCAGTGCCTGGATGACAAGACAGCCGATCGTGGATGCACTGGTCGGCAAACTAGCGGTGATGTGGACGGACGGACAGCACACGACGGCTGGGACGGGTGAAGATGGGGTTCGCCCTTCGCCCAGGGGTCCGGACCGCGTCGCTGGCACACTTGGTAGATGGCAGATGGCGAACCTTGCCAGGCAGAGACTGTTCTCTTGTTGAGTCGCGCAATACTCAGGTACCGGGTCATGCCCTCCCGACGGAGCACCAAATGTGCCCCCGACAGGACAGACAAGGGCACAGAGTGTGAATGAGTGCGCGTCCCCGGCGGAGTCTAGCAGACGGGCAAACAGGCAGGCCTGGCTGGCACTGAGGGTGGAGTGGACGAGGCAGGCCTGGCGGGCTGGCACTGAGGGTGGAGTGGACGAGGCAAGCCGGCGAGGAGAAAGGGGCCGGGGGGGGGCTTTGGGGAAGGGACGAGGGAAAAAAGGGAGACAGGCGACGGTGAAGGCTGCAGGGGTACTTTCGCTGCCACGTCTAGCTACAGCAGAGTGACCACCGAGCACTGCTTCCCTAGACGTACAAGTCGTGTACCTATGCAGTAGCGTTGTCGCCAACCACAGTACCCGGTACATGTACACGTACAAGTACAAGTATATCCGACTGCACCGAATGTTCGCACCACCCTTGCTGCCTTCGATACACTTCTGGGGTGCCGGCTCTATTGAACGACTCCGCATTCTTTGGCGGGATTCTTCCGAGCGGCCAGGAGAGGAACACGACGGACGGACAACGGGGCGTCAAGGGGCAAGGGTCGCTGCAAATGGGCGCCTGACCCGAGGCCGAGGATGGTGAGTGAGGCCCGAGGGCAAGTTTTTTTTTTCTTCTCTTCTCTTCTTCACTTTTACTAGAACTTTCAGGTGGAAGCAGACAGAAACCCACCCGCGGGACATGAGAAATATCGTCACGTGCACACCCATCCCCGCCTCCAGGGTTCGTCCAGATTCTCTCGTGACATGATGGGGCGAGGGCAGAAGAAGAAATGCAAAATCATCATCAAACCACAGCATCAATGGGAAATGGCATGAATGACAGACGGACGATTAGCACCCTTGGCTTCGATGTGTTCTTTCTTGGAATAGGTACCAAGTACCAAGTACGTCTAGGCTCCCCCCCTTCCGGCGTCCTGCGTCCTTCTCAGGTACGGGTGGTGCGCAAGGCGAAACACAGCGGAGAGGTGTGTCCGCTGCGGGGACCTGCCAGCCGAGAAGTAGCTGCATGTGTGAGGCATGTACTCTCCTGCGGAAAATACCGAGGGAGCTACCTCAAGCGAGCAATGAGCGGGTACGCGAGTACCTCCACTGGCACATCCCTCTGGAGAGTCCCCGACCGCCCGTCCCTTGGCGGGCTCGTCCCTGCTGCTGCTGTTGAGGAGGGAAGGTGTAAGGTGTCGCACCTCCGGCCCACTTTCCCACCTTGCCCTCGCACTAAGGAAGGCAATGACGACCTACCGGGAACCTAGGCACAGGCTAGACCTGCCACCCCCCGATTCCGATTGACCTTTGACACGTTCTGTCCCAACCCTCGGGGCCCAGGAAGCCCGCCGCCCTGTCTTGCCTACCCTGACTACCACCTGCCCTCACTGAGAGTGCCCGCCCACTGTCCTCCAACTTGTACCTACCTTGACTAGATACCTTGACTACCTTTCCTACCTACCTAGGCCAGCTTTTTCCCATCTGACCCCAACGACATCATCCACCATCGATCGAACCTCTCTCTCAACCCACTCGCGTTGCCCACAGTTCTCCTCCTCTGCACCGCTCTTTTTTCTCCCAACGCCCCCCCCATCGCACCTAGACCACCCCCAGTTGGGTAGACGACAGCCTGTTGCCCTGCAGTCCACGCCTAGGCCCCCCCCATTCTGTGCCCACAGCAACAGCAGCAGCCAGCCCGACTGACCCGGCTTACCACGTCCGTCAATCCATAACCTCACGTCGGCGCTCGATTGTGTCATTCCATCCTCACCATCATCCCCCTCCGAACCACGACGCCGCCCACCACGACACCTGACCTTGGACCGGCCTCCACGCCACTTACCGCAACCCCCAACTATCACGCATACTGTCTATATTCCTTCTACCTCGGCCGCTACGTACGACTGTCTGTCACCTTCACTGAAGCTTCCATCTCCCATCCTGGCATCCACAAACCTCCCCCAGCAGACAACCACACAAACAATCGACGAGCGTTACCTGCGCGCGCCAAAGGCCCCTCTCGAAGGGCTACCCTCGTCACGGGCAACCCTCCTCCTGCTCCACGACGTGTCATCCATCGCGATGATAGACACCCCTCCTACCTCCAATCACCATCCATCTAGTTGAACTCCCCATCCCACGCTCCTGGCATGCAACCAAGGGTCCGAGCCTGCGTTGTCTCCTTCGTCTGCATCAAGCCTTCCCTCCATGGATAGGTCAGCCAACTCGTCCACCGGCAGCTTGACTGCCGGCCGTCCACGCAATATGCTGCCCGAAACTTCCCAACTGTCCTTCTCCTCCGCCGCTGGAGGTGAAGACAGCCAACCATCAAAACGATCCTCCGCCAGTACTTCCTTGAGCCAATCGCCCGTGGCTTCTCGGGACGTCTCCCCCACCCGCTCGCGCATCAAGGCGTCCACATCGGCGGCCCGTTCAGCTTCGGCGACGGCAGCGTCCAGGTCCAGGAGAAACAGCCAACAAGAAACAAGTCCGGCTCGCACCCCACGATCCGTCAAATCCATTCTACCACCCGGCTCCAACACAATCTCTGCCGCGACAACGCCAACGCTGTTACCGGCGTCGTCAGATCTAAACGCGAGATCTGCAGGTCCACAGAAGACGTCAATCATCACAGAACAATCATATCCACGAGACAGCCCTCGTTGGCCAGTCTCCCCCCGCCTGCGCTCACCTCCCCCGCAGCTCCACAGACCCAGCGTCTCTACAACACGCCGCATCGACACCGATCCTCCCAGAATCAGCGTTCAGCGTGCAACCCCTTCCCCGCAACCTGCGGCCCCGACGATGGACGGTGCGTCGAACATGCCAGACAGTGACACAGACGATTCGCAGTCTGGGCTACGAACGCCCGCCATCGGCAACAGCTCGACGCTAGAGACCGTTCAGGAAGTGAGCCAGCCGAACTCGCCTGGTTGTATCAATGCCGCCTTGGAACAGGTCAACGAAAAGTTGTCGGGCGAGGGCACTGTCGAATACCCTACCATCAGGGCTGCCCGGTCAGCTGTACCTGTTTCGGAGATGGCCAACGACCACGGTACCATTCGGGCTGATTCCAGGCGATCCCAGAGCTCTGCCCCTCCTCCGTCGCTCGCACGCCAACCTAGCACTGTTTCCATGTCAGCCAAGCAGCCAAAGACGAAGGTCGCCGGTGAGGGTTCGGGTCAATCCATGACCGTGGAGACCGAGACGGTATCGTCGATCCCCCAGGTAGCACTGGCCCCGAACTCCAAGATGGAGAGCAGCAGCGGTACTCTCAAGGCGAAGGCCAGCACGGAAACCATCAAGCCCAAGAAGGACAAGAAGAAGGTCAGCCGCAAGCAACCGGCCGTGACCACAGCCATTGGTGAGACACAACATCTTCTACCGAGTCCCCATCCCAGACACTGCCACCAGTACTCGACGTCAACAGTGCCGGCGTCGTATGGCGCTGTCCTGACCCCCACAAGCAGCCGTGATCGAGGCCTGCGGGGCGAGGGCAACCACAGTTCGCGACTGTCCACTGCGCCCAACGCGCGAACACCCAGCGCGGGACTGTATCACATGAGCAACTTGCTGACCAAATCTCGTTCAGGATCCTCCAAGGCCGACATTTTTGAAGCCAAGGTGGCCAGCGCGGTTGACGAGGCAGACTCGTCAGACTCTGAAGAGACCTTTGTCTATGATTCTAATCCTCCAGATGCCGGTGACAGGCCTCGCCGCTATCACTCGCGCACACCGAGCGCCACGTCGATGGCCAGCCAGGCCGACCGGAACGCCATGCGCTCGATTCATTCAATCTTGGAGAACGGTGGTGGCCCGCCCCCCGTCATCATGAAGAAGGGCATGAAATTCGTCAATTCCTTTGCCGGTAGCGGTGGCGAGAACCTGACCGCGGGCGAAGACGATGGCAAGGGTAGCGGACGAAGCGCCGGCCCGGGCTCAGGCCGAGGGACTGCGCGACATCACCACCACAACCTTACACACATTGGTCGATGGGGCCGAAACCCAGGCAATACGCACACCTCGTTGTTCGACAACGACTCGCCCTTCCCGAACGCAGCGCGGTCCAAGTTCTCCGGGGTCCAGTCTCGGCAGTCATCGGGTCCGCCGAGCCCTCGATTCCTCAACCATTCGCGAGGTCCTTCCGGTAACGGGAAGAGGCCCTTGGTCTCGGGGCCGTCGTATGACTTGGACGATCCCACTACAGGTGCCGACGATGAGAGGACACCACTCTTGTCGCCGTCTATGCGCTCCGCGCGAGGCCGAAGCCGACGCACCCCCGCGAGTCTACGACACCTCGAATCGCAGTCATATCGACAGCAGCCTTCGTATCTGAACCGTTTTGCTGCGTGCCTGGTCATCACCATGATGCTTTTGCTAGTCATCACCGGCGCGATCGGCTTCATGTTCGCAACGTCACAGCCCTTGATGGACATAGAGCTCGTATCCATCAAGAATGTGGTGGCTAGCGACCCGGAGCTGATGTTCGACTTGACGGTCAGAGCACATAACCCAAATATTGTCGTCGTGTCAGTCGACCAAGCAAACATCGAGGTCTTTGCCAAGTCGCCCCACGCAGGCTCCGACAGCGACTGGTGGAAGTGGCCTCATGGCCCTGAAATGGGGGATGGCACCGACTCTGACATTCACGTCAAGGACGACCCCCCCGACGACCTGCCTGACGACGCACCAAACATGCGCCTCGGTACAATTACCGAGTTCGATAGCCCTCTGTCATTCGAGGGCTCGTTCTTCAACAAAGGCATGTCTTCCTCCACAGGCGAAATGCGGCTCAGCCTACCCGGCAACCATTCCGCAGGCGGCTCCGAACGCTGGAGCCGCATTATCCAAGACGAGTTTGATCTTGTGATCAAGGGCGTTGTTCGCTATAGCCTTCCCCTTAGCCAACGTGTGAGGAGCGCGCCGATTTCCGGTCGAGCTACCGTCAAGCCCAACTCGGCCAACGATCCCTCTTTCAACTCGACGCTGCCAGTTGACGGAGATGTTCCAGCCTGAGCGCTCATCGACCGAGTAGCTCTTCAACCCATTTCATTTGTCATCCTACTCATACTGTTTCTGTATATTGAGCGTTGCATAGCACGGCATACCCATTGCAAAAGCAGGCGTTTAGCGGGTCTCATCTGACCAGTAACAAACCCAGAGGCCAGAAACGTTGCAGCGTTTCGTTGTCTCGGAGTTGCTCCCCAAGGTTGCTCTTTCAACGTTTCGTTTTCTTTTTGATTGGCGAGCCATTATGACAGGCGCCGCTTTTGACACTACAAGATTCTTGACCTGTTGTTACTGGGTAGGCATGGCCTATTTTTCTGACTTACACACAAGCGCCTCTGACGAGGATTTTCTTTCCCCTTTTTCATACTTGCGTTTCGCGATCCATAGACGGACAAAAAGGGCAACTAGGTCAATCTGTAATTTTAACGACTTTTTACGACAAAAAAAAACCAGCTTGAAAGAGGCGGGGCGATCGGAGGGCCCACGTGGCTGGTGCTATTGCTAAGCCCGGGTCGCAGAGGAGGTCCGGATGTCCGGAGTTTGATGTCGGTGGTGGCTTTCCCGTGTATCTAGGGACAAGGTAGAAGGATAGACGGACCACGCGTTAGGGTCAGGGAGGAAATTGAGATGCTTGCCACCTTGGCAGTTGACCAATCTGAGAGTTCCTTGCTCACTTTTCACGTGTCAAACTACGCGCAGTATCATCGCCATCGCACAGTGGGTCGGGTTGATACAGTCTCGTAACAGCGTCGATATCATTCATGCCTAACGAGTATACAGAACAGAACTCGATACATGTATGTGTCTACATGACCGAGTCGTCAAGCCATGCGCATCTGACGTCGGGGCGAACCGCCACAGATTCCTCTCTACCTTGACGACTGCTATCCCCCCACCCCCTCCCCGCGGCGCAGGGAGGATCGAAGGAAACGCTGCCAAATTTCGCCCAGTCATCATCTCTTTGAAACCCCCTCCCCTTAGCCCGGCGCTCGATCATCGCCTTTGCTCGCCCGTCAGATGCATATCCCAGGAAACATGTCCAACATGAAAACTCGCACATGCAAAAATTGCACATGTGCGAGGGAGACTAGTTTTAAAATGAAACTGAAAAGCAAAGCAGTCATGTTGTCTCCCCGTCCAGGTCCTGCTGAAAGACGACGTCTTTTGTATGATTTCGTCAACACCGTCGGTCATGAAGAAGAGAAAAAACGTTGGTGCCGATCGGATCTATGTAACAAAAAAATTGGCATCAGCCTTTGCGTGGCATTACTCCGGGATGGTCTCGCCCGAGGCGCGGCGCTGCGGCATGGTCGGCGTGGCCGGGGTGGGCGGCTGCTGCGGCTGCTGCTGCTGGTCGGGCTGCTCCTTCTTGCCCCAGCCAGCGGCCCAGCCCATCCAGCTGGCGCGCTTGTTGGCCGTCTCGGTCTTTGTGGCCTCGGCCTCCTGGACGAGGCGCAGGGGGCGCGGCTTGTTGCCGGCGAAGGTGGTCGACTTTTCGTGGTGGGAGCGCGGGGGGCTGCTCTGGGAGGGGGGCGTCGAGACGTCGCCGCCGACCGAGGAGCCGTTGACGACCGAGGCCGAGTCGCCCGAGATGCTCGACGTCTCGCTGCGCATGCCGGGGAAGTTGCCGGCCGACGACTGCTGGCTGGGGGCGCGGGCCGCGGCGTTGGGGTTGGTGCTGCCGCCGCCCGAGGCCGCCGTGAAGAAGCTCTGCGAGTGGCGCGGGTTGCCGAGGCCCGGCGACACGGGCCCGTCGGCGCCGCGGTACATCTGGTTCACGAGGCTGGCGCCGCCGCCGCCCGTGTACTGCTCCGAAACGGGGCGGCCCGAGCGGCGCGTGCTTGTGGACCGCGTCAGATTGCCAATGGGGATGCGAGGCGCCGTCTCCGGATCCTCGTGTGCCGAGTAGCCCGACGTCGGCATGACAGACATGGGTCGCGGGCGGGGCTTGCCGTTCCCGACGGCCATGGATTTGGCGCGCTGGAGGAACGAGGGCACGACGGGGCCCTTGTCGGCGGGCGGTGGCGGGAGCTCCTTGTCGACGTTGGCGGCGCCGGGGAGCTTGAGGTCGCTGCCGGACTGGTCGAGGATGTGCTCAAAGTCTTGGTGCTGCAGCAGGCGCTCGATAATCTTGTTGATGTACAGCGTCAAGGCCTTGTTCTGGTCCTTGGACGCCTTGATCTCGCTCTCGAGGCGTCGGACCGCCTCGCCGTCGTTGTCGGTCCCTGCGGCGTCGGAGAGCTCGTCGGCGAGGCTCGTGCCGGCGGTGCGGCCCTCGAGCGCGTTGAGGGCGTCCTGGTTCGCCGCTGAGCTTCCCATGTAGCTAAAGTCGTTCTTATTGAATTCGCCATTGAGGGTCTTCTCCTGGAGGAGGAGCTGATAGCTCTCATTATCCTCCATGAGACGGGCGTTGGCCATGCGGGCCTCCATGAGGAGCCTCTCGACCTCGTGGAGGCGGCCGCCGCCCGAGTTCTCCGACTCGACGAGCTTGATCTGGGCCTCGGCCAGCTCGAGCCGAAGAGATTCGATGAGCTTGTCCTTTTGCAAGAGGAGTTTGGAGTTATTTCGCGAGTCGCTGCGGTTCAGGGAGGATGGGGGCGCGAAACCGCCCTCGACGGAGGGGGAATGTGCTAGGGAGGACGTCAGCCGTGGTGCCAAGGATTGTGCAAAGTGCCAGATGAGTGCTTGGTGCCAGGAAAGAGCAGGAGAAAGGGCGAGGGGGTTGACAAACGTTGTCTTGATGGCCGGACGTCATCGTCGTTGTTGGCCCTCTGCGCCAGACTGTCCTTCAACCTCTGGATGACCATTTGCATCTCCTCCTCTCGGTTGGCCATGTCTTCCTTCTCCTTGTTCATGGAGCTCCGCTCGGCCTCGTAGATGGCCTCCATCTCGCGCATTTGCCTCGCGGCATCCCTCTTCTCGTTCCGCAGCGTCTCGGCCAGTTCTTCGTTCTCGTGGACCTTTTCCTCGAGCTTGGCCGATGCCTCGAGGGCGTCGTCGAGGCGGGTCTGCAGCACCTCGGCCTGCTTCCTGTACTGCTCGGCCGAGATTTCAGCCTTGGAGAGACGCTCCTTGAGGTCTTCGAGCTGGGTGACGAGCTCAGCACGGGCGTCCTGGTCGGCGTCGGACGCGCTGTGGAGGGGCGAGTCCTTGCGGCCGGCCACGGGGCGCGTCGGCGTGCCGGTGCGCGTGGAGCGGGTGCGCGCGACGGCGCCTGCACCGCCGGCGCCAGAGACGGAGGGCGTCGAGCGGTGGGCGCTCCGCGCAGGGGACGAGGAGGGCGAGGCGGTGGGATCGGTGCTGGAGACGCGACCGACGCCGGCGGCGGGGGGCTTCTTGGCGGTTGCTGCCGACATGGTGGGTGGCAGGGTAGGTTTGCTTTCTTTTCTTGGGAACGCTGTAGCGCGTGCTGTTGGTGGTGGTGGTGGTGTTGTTGCTTTGTTGTCGTCTGTGGAAAGCAGGTAGAGGGTACCTAAGGTAGGTAGGTAGGTGAGCTGTGGCAGGGCTTCGCTGTGACGGTCGGATGAAATATCGACAGCAGAGGAAAGCCGCAATGACGCCTCGCCGTGCCAATGGTAAACAATGGAAGGGCGATGTGTGAATGGGCGGTTGTGGTTGTTTGGCAAAACGACGAGTAGTTGGGTCGGTACACCAGACGACGAGGGCGGTCAGGAGGACGGTTGTGATTTCGTGGTCGCTGGGGAACGTGAAAAGGAGATGATGCGACTCGGGGTCTTTGTCTTTGAATGAATGCACTGCAGATTGCCCTGAACGGAACTGGGATGGCGGCCGGCAGCCCTTCCTTCGTCGACGTCTGCAGGCCCAACACAGGCCAGATCCACAGGCCCCAAGTCTACATGTGCAGCCCAGGTCCACAGGCCCCAAGTCTACATGTACAGGCCAGGTCCACAGGCCCCCAGGGCGCCGGAAGGGTACCTCGGAGAAAGGGTGGACAGGTACTCGTTGACCGTGGGCCGTCCACCCAGAATCCGCAGCCACGAGACTCTCTGCCTGGGTATCTCTGCCATGACATGCCCTCAGGCCTGACATGCCCTCAGGCCTGACATGCCCTCAGGCCTGACATGCCCTCAGGCCATGACATGTCCTCAGGCCAAAGTACCTCCCTACCTGCGCGTGTACTTGTCGGGTGTACATGGCGATCCCCGCCCAACCCCGCCTGTCCGTCGGTACCTCCACCACATGTGAAATGAAGGGTGTGCTGCTGCGTTCTGGCCAAGGCACGACGAGCGAGGTGCCAGCGAACGAAAGGATAGGCCTTGGTTCCCCGTTATTTTCGGCCTCTGCTACAGCGTGCATGGTGCATGGTAAGGCACTGAACCTGCCTGTCTCCCTAAAGGAAGAGGTGTGGCCCTCTCGGTGCCATCGCATGTGCCTGCTTGCCTGCCAGTAGGTACCTTTCTGCTGTAAGATAGCCATCATCTCACACAAGGTACACAAAGGGCAAGACATGGTAGGGATCACAGGGAACGGTATCGAGGGAAGGGCGGGCATCTCATCTTTCCCGTGGTCTCGATTGCGTTCTGCCAATTGTCTAGGTCGAGTAGCCTGTCAAGTGTTGTCGATGCAGCCCACAGCCAATGGCCATCCCCATGTTGCCACGCCATGTTTCAAGGTGTTCCAGAAAGGGCAGATTAAACATCCATGCCGGGGTCACATCCACGAAACCTCCAACGAGGGACGGACGACGAAGGAAATGAGCATCGGTACACCAGAGATGGCCTGCATGACAGACGATATTGGCCGCTCCATGCTCAACGCTGCGTTGGGCCAGGCCCAGTACAACGAACAGCCAGCAAGTGACAGCGCGGGCACCCGCACGCAGGCATGGCCCCTGCTGTCGGCTCTAACGCAGAAGCGGACGGTCGCCTAGGGGTCCAGGTCGCCCCCGTGGCCCCCCCCTATTCTGGGGTTTTGCCTGTGACGGACACCTTTCGCAGTGCCTCCTACATATAGCTAAGTCCTTGGCCTGCTTAAGCACCTTGGTA